TGGTAGAATTTAGCACATGCAGTTTTAATTTCCCATTGAACTTTATTACGCCAGAATTTGTAGGCTTGGAATGACCTTAGGGATGATTTACCATACTTATATAAGGCACGTTGGCGTTTCCTTATAGAAAGTTTAAAAGCAGATGACATCCAGGGTTTATCACATTTCCTGACTTGTTGAAATTTAGGTGGAAAGAAGAAATCGATCTTCTAGATCTCGGTTAATGTTTCATTGAACTTCTTATATACTCCAGATCGCAGTAAGGAATTTCATAAATGTCACTCCAGTCAAAAATCGTAATCCACTGCCCAAAGGATCTTATACCACTATCAGTTAAACATTGTTTTAAAGTGCGATTATTAATAGATTTTTGATCATGATGTAAGTGAGTTTTCAACAAAATTGGATTGTGGTCACTAGAGCCTATACATGGCAACTGAGAGGGATGGTAAGTTAGGTCCTTTTTATTGATCAAACACCAATCCAGTATATTATTTTCCCGGGTTGGTGCATTAATAATTTGATTTATACCACATAATCTTTTAAAACCTGCACTAGTCGGATTAAAATCTCCTGTTACCATAACTAAAGCCTCACGGTGATTAGCAAGAAAATTATGATTTTATATCGACTGCAATCATTGCATAAATTCAATAATCGAAAAACAACATTCGACGTTTAATGCTTGGAGCCTAATTTGTGCTGTTTTGAAGTTTTAGCTATAGTGATTTAGCTATAGTGAAGTATTAGCTCTCACATACACTGTGACTAAATGCAGCTGGAATGTGATTTCACTTCACCTTTATGTTTGTGTTTGTTTCCGGAAAATTTGAAACATTAGGTATCATATAGGCTATGGACTTATTTAAGTCATGGTTGCTAAACATGGTTGCTGGTAACTTGGTTGCTAAAAGTGAAGCCAAAGATGGCGGAAATTGAAGGAGCTATTGGAGGACACCACAGTCCTCCTACGTGCGCGGTCAAATATTTTTTCATTGTTTTTGATCGGGAGTGATGGTTCGCAAACGATTTTTGTGCTTTTCTTCATTTTAAAAGAATAAGAATGGGAAAAAATTTGATTTTTTCATAGCAATCTGTTTCTCTGCATCTACCTTATCTAACTACTGTGTTTTCCAACTACAGTGTAAGTAAATATGAATTTTTCGCTGTGAGTACAAGTACGCTTCAAAGTTTTGCTTTGCCTTTCGAGTAAATTTTGTTTCTTACCTTGTAATTTTGACACAGTTTTAAGACACTGATAGCTAGTAGCATGGAGCAGTTTTTAAAGATTTTTTTCCTGCATGAAACGTTCGTATAAAAATGCCATATTTTGAGTTGTGTTTTGAACCTCGTATGTTTCGGATAAATTCCTATGAGAGATAGCTTAATACATATCTTTTCTCTTGAAACTGAGATAAGTTAACATTTTATTTGTATTTTTTGAGTGTATTCTGTCATTTACGAGAACGTCGACAGCCCACACTCACTTCTCTTGACATGTTATTGCTCCTTTCTTGGCAAATTTAAGTGAAACTTAAAAAAATCCCAATAAAGAGCATCAGCATTTAACTTTAATAAGAAATTCTACCATTTCCCACTGAAAACTATAAGAAAATAACCAAAAAAAACATGAACTCAGTTTGACCGTGCACGTAGGAAGACTGGGGTGTCCTCCAAATGAGCGAAGTTACTACTCCATATATATATATATATATATATATATATATATATATATATATATATATATATATATATATATATATACACCCATTTGCAAAAACGTTGTCCACAGATAGATAGATAGATAGATACTAGAAGTCTAATTAGAATTGCATATGATTACATTTGCATGGGATTTCTATAATATTGCACAACATATGAAATTCTAATTAGATTTCGAGTATCTATCTATATATCTATCTGCGGCCAACGTTTTTGCAAACGGGTGTATATATATATATATATATATATATATAATATATATATATAATATATATATAATAATATATATATGTATATAAATAATAATTATATAAATATATATATATATAATATACAGTCGTTATCAAAAAGGTTGTCATATTGAAATATATATAAATACGTAAATATCAGTCACGTGATTTTACTGCATACGTTAATTTTATGGGAAATCCGTGAAAATCTTTATTAAAAATTTCATAAATATAATAGTAAGGTTAACAATATTGATAATAATAAAGAAACAAGACAAAAATGAGCGAAATAAACAATGTTTAATGCTCACGTGATTGATATATATATATTTGTATATATATTGATAGGGACAACCTTTTTGATAACGACTGTATATATATATATATATATATATATATATATATATATATATATATATATATAACATGTGTAAAACAATGTGCCCTCCCGGCTATCACCAGAGCGCAATGGTGACTCCTGCACTTCGGACACAGGACGTACGGTTGTATATATATATATTATAGAGCTCATTGGATATGGCTTTATCACGTTAATATTTAAGTTGACGCGCAACCGGGCTCTTTATTCAGAAAAAATAATGCAAAGTAAATCCAGCATAAGTTTGCATATTTTGAAATATTTATACAAAACTCTAGGGAGCCACCTTAAGTTAGAAAAATTTTCAAGGTAAGTGAGCCTTCATTTTTCATTTTGTCTGTAAACAGTATTCTATTTCCAATGCTCTCACTTGCACTCCTTTTGTTTTGAGTATGGGAGCATTGACCGAGCGCTCAGGTGCATATGTGGGTACAAGTGCATCCGATTCTGGGATCACCACGAATTTTCAGTGATTTTCGCCCCCGCTATCTTCCTGGGCGCTCGATCGAATTTGAAGTGGGAGATGCAGTGAGGTCCACCTTATTCAATAGCTGCCATTCCCCCTTGGGGCTTATACGCTTCATTTAAATGCGTTAGGCACGATGATCTGTGTTATTTTATTCTTCGTGCTTTGTTTCGAGTATTGTGAATAGTGCTCATGGATCCGTGAGGTCCACCTTATTTATAGCTGCCATTCCCCCTTGGGGCTTATACATTTCATTTAAATGCGTTATGCACGATGATCTGTGTTATTTTATTCTTCGTGCTTTGTTTCGAGTATTGTGAATAGTGCTCATGGTTCCAGTTCCAAGAGTGTTTGCATAAAAAATAGACCTACATAAAAAGTTGGGACCCTGTGAAATCACTTCGACCCAGTTTCAAAGGGTCATTTTTATATATTTAACACAATAAATCAACTAACTGTACACTTATCGCATTTTCCAACATCATTAAAAAGTTAAATTATCATAAAATAACTACGTGCGTTGTATTTTCTGCGAAAAATTATGGATTGGAGATGATGTTCAAAAGGTCAGTGTTTCTTTTCCGAAATCTGCATGCATGCCTTAGGCCCTATATCCTCTTTAAAAGACAAATCGCAATAAATGTTAATTAGCGTCATGTTTAGTGGTACAAAATTTGAGACGAGGTTTTTCGCCTATAGGGAAAAAGATCAAAATACATTTTTTCGTGTTTTGAGCTTCACAACAAATCATGGACAGGGTTGCATTGCTTTGTCCTTTTCGTGTGAGATCATGTCAAACCAAAGGAAAAAACCATGTTTAAACAAAAAGGCCAGTCTTCTTTTATATGAAATATGACATAAATAGCTTTATGTTTAGTGGTACAAAATTTGAGACGAAGTTTTTCGCCTAGGGAAAAAGTGCCTCGATAATAGACCTTTTCGGTAACTACGTCACAACATCGTCGTTTTAAATTTAGAACCACCTTAAATGAGATGGATTTCAAGTTTTACTCTCACAAGCTATGTGCAAATACTATGTCTTTTCATGCATGTGTTGAAGAAGGATGTTTTGCAACTTTGCACGTGGCTCGTGAGAGTAAAACTTGAATTCCATTTCATTTAAAAGATGGATTCTAAATTTAAAACGTTGTGATGTTAAAATGTTGTGACGTAATTACCGAAAAGGTCCATTGGGACAAGGAAGTTAAAAGTAAACTGAAGCAATAAGGAAGATAAAACAATAAAATCGGATAAACGATTAGGTAAATAAAACAATTTAATATCACCGATATTATCAGGCTCAAAGTTTTTAAGAATGCATAATTTATTAGCTAACAAACTGTGTTGCAATGTTGACATTGGCATTGTCGTTTTGTCATCCTTACATGCTCAAGTTGCTTTTACATCAATGCAAAATATCAACAAGCTATAGCAAAAAAAGCCAAAAAGCCAGTCTCGCGATATTTGGCGTCGTAATGTTGAATAAATTTGACGCATATTTATGGTTTTATATTCACCTAGTGTAAGACAACCTAGTGTTTAGTCAGCATCTGTCTTAATATATCTTACCGTGCGTAAAATATTTTAATTTAGTGAATCCAAATTAAAAATGATCGAAAAACTAACTTATTTTTCTCATGACGGCACATTTATTTCGTTCTGGCAGGTATATTTGATTACATTGGTATACATTTATTTTTAATATTTAATTGAAAAATTCACGTTACGATAAATGTTACCTTGATAATCTCCTTGGTTTTCTAAGTCGCATAAAATTCTTCTTCCTCCATGATTTCTGTTTCTTCTTGCATTTTTTTGCATAACGCGCGCTAGTACCAGTCTCCATTCGCATCACACATGGTCAGCGCGCTATGAGCGCGTTTCCACGCCCGTGTTTTATAGCGCCCTGGGTTTGGGTAACTTTGGATTCCGTTATGTTCTGTGACATACCCGGGTGTAATTCCTAATCTCCGGGCGGAATTAGTACCCTCGCACGGCGCTCCGCACCGACTCGGGGAGAAAGAAAGGGTCAAAATTTGTAATCAACAAAAGGGAATTTCGTTAACATTTTTCAGGCTAAGTCAATCAGAATGCCCAAATTTTAAATACTTCTCGTAAAATAATAAATAATGTACCTTTTTACTGCAAGTATAAAATGATTGGTTTATTGAAAATATAAACAAATTTATTGATTGGTCTAAAACGACATTTCTCCTGGTTGGCCACAATTGCAGATTTAAAGATTAGTTTTGGTAATCAGTATATTCACGCGATGGCGGGTACGATTGGGGATTGACAGTACAAGCCAAATACAATACAATATTTACTTTAATATATAAAAGCCAAAGACAGTACAATATTTGCCAAAATTGGATGAACCGACAATAGCCACAATTTTTGCAACCACTTGATTCAAACGAAAAAACGTTTTTCACTGTGTACCAGAACGGCTGGACAAAGAAATTAGTCATCGCACCCATAGTTACTGCAGTCAACGGTGATATTTTCTTCAACTGATATACAAAATATTGATTGTCTATTCCACTTATGCTTTGTATAAAATATTTTCGGTTCAACTGAGTTTTATGTACGAAACTCAAGTCATGCTACATGTGTTTTTACGATAAAATGTGACAACTCAACAACTATTGTTAACCAGTCAAGCAACGCTAGTTCCACCAAGACCTGATTGGCTGCCCAAAACGAGCCCCTGGGTACCCTTGTGACCAGCAATTCCTAACATATTCTCAAGGGCAACTCTAATTTCTTTCACTGCCGCAGCGTTTCTCTCGTGGTTCTTCCACAGCTGTGCCACGTCGTGCTTTACGGCATCCAAATCAGACATTTTATCTTTGCCATACCTAAAGTTGAATTAATTAGAGAACTATGATTGACCGGCGTTATTCCTTATTTAAAGACCTTTTAAGTAGTTTATAGGCCAGCGATTACCGTATTGCTGTTGGGCTAAATGACTCACATTGACTCACATAGCACACTCATATAGTCACTCGAAAATAGACATGGTTTGAGTGGATTGCATAAATTGCGGATCCAGCGATTGCGAATTCATTGACAAAAATTTTCAACAGTCTGTAGGAAGTGAAACTGTCCTTTCTAAGTGGAAAATCGCGAGAGTTACCCCGATATATAAAAATGGTGCGAAGCGTATTAAATAACTATCGTCCTATATCATTTTATCTGTTGAGGGTAAAGTTTTTGAGAAAGTATTACAGGGACAACACTATGATTATTTTGTTGCTCAAAAATTACTCACGCCCCATTAATTTTACTTTAGAAAATTTCTGTCTACAGCCTGTTCATTAATAGTTCGTTAACATGGACCGTGGCTTAGTATTACTGTTTTCTTGACCTGCAAAAGGCGTATACTATTAAAAGAACTTGAATTTTATGGCATGGAAACGACAGCTTGAAATCCCCTGAAATCGTGTTTAGCTAATAGAACTCAAATGTGCTTTGTTGATGGCACACTTTCAGGCATGAAGTCAGTTAAGTGTGTCATTCCTCATGGTTCAATTCGTGGTCCAGGTCCACTTTTATTCTGAATCTACATAAATGACTTGCCCGACAGTCTGGTGTACTCGTCGACAAGAATTTTTTGCCGACGATGTGACTCTAGCTGTAACCGGTACGTCAGTTCATGTAGAGATGGCAGTCAATCATGATCTTTAATAATTGTAATGTTAAATAGTGGCTCTCTTCAAAATAATAGACTATTCTTAAATTCGGTATAACATAAATAATTCATCCAAATGTATTTCTCGGTGATATACCAATTAAAAGGATCAGACAGACAAAGGCGCTTGGGGTTTGTGTTGATGAACTAAAACCTATTGTGAATCGAACATTAATATGTGTTAATATAATGTGCACTTATCCTCACACACTTAAATTATTGTTGTAAAGTGTGGGACACAATTGGCCTCTCGCTTTCTGATCGACTGCAACGGTTGCAAAATGGAGCGGTTAGAGTTTTTACTGGCCGTAAAAATGAGCATGGCCACTCTGAACTTGCTCTGGACGAACTGAAATGGAAACCTTTAAAAAAGCCTTAGATACAAGATAACTGGTTTAACGCCTAAACTATGCGGATTAACTGATATTTTTCAAACTTGTCTCCTTGCTCCCGATGCTATAATTTGAAATGCTCGTCCACCAAGTTATTTTTGCACAAACCAAAAAGCGGAAAAGTCTTAAGAAAACTTTGGTATAGCCTCTCAAATGAGGCAAAAATATGCAGTTTTACTGACCAGCTAGTGTCCTGTAAATTAATTTAGTTTTTTTGTAAAATTTTGTACAATTGTAATGTATCTGTATGTGTGTATTTCCTTTTTGTATTTTTTTAAATTCACGCCACTCTTGGAAATCATCTTTTCTGTAGGAATGTGTTTAAATAAAGTTTTACCTGTGTACCTAACCATTGATGGTTCAAATTTGAACCGCTAACCTAGTGTTATGTATCAATCAATCATTTTCACGTTCTCATTCTTATTTTAAAATGATATACTAGCTTAACATTTTTGTGTATGCTCTAGGTAGACGACTGGCTGCTTTTCACTTAGAGAGAGAGCTTTCAGAGAGCTTTTCGAAACTGGGGCTCATGCATCTTTTCCGGTTCGGGTTTAGTCCGTTCTCTATATAAAAAACCTTCCTTTCCTGCGCCTTTTTTTCGGAATTTCTTATCCTATAAATATCGTTTAACAACTAATGGCAAGGCTGATGTTTTTTAAACTTACCGCCGTCCAAAACGACTTTGTACCAGCTGTACCATATCCTTGACTTCCTCTCGCATCTCTTCCACCGATTTTCGGTCGTCCATCTCGCTGCTGTTCATATCTGGTTGAATCGTAAGAACCTCGGGACTACACGTACTCCGAATGTAGTCATAATACCGGAGCCGTCGTTTGTCGCTTAGCGACCGCTCTAGCGTGATGATCGTCTTTGCGCGTTGCATGATGGAGTTCGCAACTGCGTTCCCGTAAACTCTCGTGAATGTATCGGAAAGCATCGCAATGAGGACATTAACTAGTACGATGGCCATGATGATAATAAATGTTCCACACAGGAATCTTGCCATATGTTCGTCCGAAGCCTCCAATGCTTCGAAGCCGTAATCCATGACCACGACCATGGAGAACATGTTAAACAACATCTCGTCAAGATTGCTATAGCCTTCAACATGACCACCAGTCGCGTCGCCTCCGAACGTTATCCAAAACGAAGCGGAGTAGGGAATGAAGATGAGCAGAAACAGCAACGCCCATTTTAGAATATCAATTACTATATGGCCAAATATCGCAACAAAGGCACCAGGCCCTTCAAATGGTCGCGCGGATTTCATAATACGTATCCAAAGGATGATGAGGAGAGCGCATGCGAAACGGGCATACACGCGATAGGATGAATCGCTTTTGATCTTCAGGAATGCAGCTTGGGACGAAATTGTAGCAAGGATGAGGGCAAGAGCCACCCAGTCGTAGTAAAACCAATAGTCTGAGCTCGCCAAGATGGGAGGGTTTTGCACAGACTTGATTTCGGCTTCCAAGTAAGTCTGTTCCTGCGGCCAGCGTGGATGACAGTACTGAAGATCACGACTGAGGTCTTCCACACGCCATTGACGCCATTCTGCGCTGTTCTTTTGCACCTTCAGCGTACCTGATTGAAAATACAATCGTAAAAAATCATATACTGTATTTACTCAGTTGTCTATTTGGTTCAACTTCACATTTCGAAGTAACAGGATATGGCAGATATGAATGACTGCTTTAATGGGATGTGTTAGAATTTAGACGCGATATTGTGAATATAGTCGGACCCCAAAAACAATGCTTATAAGCACTGAAATTTTATACAATCAATTACTGCACTTCCTAATATGTTCATATTAAAATATAATTATTCAATAGCAATCTTTGCATTTACTTAATAAAAGTTAATCGACAATATTAAATTTACCGTTATTTTCTATTTCAGTTTCGGAGCTCAGACAAGGACCGATTTGTCATTTGATAGAAAGCTCCCTTGTAATTCATGCATGGAACATGGTCACAATTTTTTTGTTACTGGTAATGCCGGACAAAACCGTTGTTTTCCATCAAACGATTTTGAAGTTTGATTGTATAAAACTGTTGACAAGCTTGTGCCCATACATACCCGTGATTTGTTGCACAATTTCATATATTGTTAATATGGCAATTATGACTGCAATTATCCACCTCCATATTTTTTTGGGCAATGGAAAGTATGCATCTTCATCTGTTGTGGGAATTGTAACCGCCATGATCGTCCACAGTGTCGCATAGAGAAGATTCAAAAGCAGTGCACCGATTCCACCCAATTTCCCGAACACCCGCCATTTAACGGTAATCAGTCGACGTATCACTGGATGCATGATGATATCAAGGCGATTGTTTTCGACGGCTACCTCCAACGGAGTGCGGGCAGGCGACGGTGTTTCGTTCAAACGTGCGCCTACCAACAGAAAGTAGTTATATTATTCGAGTCTGCCTTTTCGCCGGTATTGTTTTCTTTTTAAACACTGCTTAAATGTCCTATGGCAGATACTTCCAAAATTGAATATGAGGATTGAAGTGAAAATATCTTTTTCTATATACTATCTTAAATTCCCATAAAAATAAAAATTTCCTGATATTCTATGAAAAACTGCGAAAAACTTGCTTCATATTGTTACCATAAGTAATGAATGTGCCTCTCTCTTATATTTTATTCCTAATGCCGTAATGGATGAATTTCCGTAAAAAAAAATTGTCAAAAGGCACGTCTTTTTGCACCATATCAGATGCAAGAAAAATTTAATGAATGCATTCTTTTAATTTATATTCGTCTGGGTAAAGCAACACGCACTACTTCTCTCGGAGCCGTTCATTTACTGTATAGTTATAAGACCATAATTGCGGTGCTTTCATTCACGAACCTTCAAGGTGTTCCAGAAAGAAATACTCTCTCCTGCTGATATGATCAACCGAGTGTAGTTGTCCTAATGCGTCTAGGGCGACTTGCGGTGCTTTTTCAATCAACAGCGATAAAGCAGAATTCCCAATACTGTCATACACCCCAGCTGGAGCGCCTTCTTCCAAAAGAAGTTTTGCTGCTTTCGTACGGTTCATTTCGGCCGCAAGCTAAATTTCAGAAAACATGCAAATGTTAAGCAAACCTCAGGGGACTGCACATGCTTTGTTTCATAAAACGGTATAACTTTTGTGAAAGGGATATTATCATAAATAGATGCACGTGATTAACACGGGGATTGCACATGCACGCGCACTAAAGTTTAGCACCACGGGTAGCACAATATAGGGCAACACGAGACATTGTGACAGAGACACATGGACACACACTGTCGGCGCACATGCACGAACGACTGAGTCACTTGTGATATAATAAAATAAAGCACAAAACCAAACTACGCTGTTTCATTGTCGTGGAAAGCTGTCCCTCTAACAGCCCCGACGATCCCGCAAGGAGTAAAGAAGAATACAAAAAGGGGTTGTTTTAACATTTTATAACACTTATAGTTTCATATTTTTGTTTGTATTTACCATAATCTAAGAACAAGGTATAGGCCGTTTGTGAGTTTCCGAAACCGCTGATTACCGGTATGCAGAAAAATACTGCCTATTTTCTGTGAATTGCTGAAAACAATGAACATTTCAAACCTGTAAAGGAGTCCTACTCTTGGAATCTTTGGACACAATATCCGCTCCATACGCTAACAACATCCTCAGTGACTGACAGGCACCGTTCTTCGCCGCAAAATGGATGGGGGTCTGTTCTTCATTGAGAGTGGCGATGTTGATATCTGCCTTTTTGCTAATGAGGAACTCGACCATTTCCGCGTAGTCAACAGCTGCAGCAACATGGAGAGGTGCCCTTCCAAAATTATCCTGTACATCGATTCTCGCACCTGAAAAAATTTTGATTTTTCTTGATTATCAATTCTTGAAAAAATTTCGATTTTTCTTGATTATCAATTGTTGGTGCGATTCGTATTAAAACGATGCGAAAAGGGACATTTGGGACCTGAACCTGTAGATGAAAAACGCGGAATTTCTAAATATGTTAGACATATAACAATTGACCTACAGTTTTTGTGACATTCTATCTTTTTATTCAAAAATATGTTGTTTCATTTTATTTTAAACCATAACTGTGAACTATGCACTGTGGAAATTGGAAACTAAACCACAGGGGTCGGTTGTACAAATGCTGGATATATAGTTAGTAATTGTTAGCTCCAAATCTTTAATTTTACCCTGCTTCGAAGCATTTTCACAACGGCTAAAAAATCTCTATGTTAATAATGGTACTCTCCATTCTTCGTACAACCTGCATGCCTTATAAATCAACTATAGTTTATCAAAACATATTTGTGTAAAATTCAGGCATTATGTTCTACCATTCTCGAGGAGAAACTCCACAATATCTGTATCCCAAGATCTCGCCACTTCATGTAGAATGGTTTGTCCATTTTTGTCAGGAGTGTTCACATCCGCTCCAGAGTCCAACAAAGATTTGACGAATTGATAGTCGAATGTGTCACCCATTTCGTTCGAGGATGCCAGAGTGGATAGGTAATGAAGAAGTGCTGCATTGCGTACAACCTCAGACTGAGGAGAACTTGAGGCAAGCGCGCTGTCTAGATGGGCTTCCAACATTCCGTGAAGTGGCTCATTAGCCTGCTTTGCTCCACCTTAGATTTAGAAGAGAAAAGTGATTCTTTATTGTGAATAAAGAATCCTGAGTACGTTATCCTCGCTGCATTTACATTACTGTGACTACTGTCCAGAAATAACCTAACAAATTAACCGAGGTCAAACCGCGGTTAGACGGAGGTTTAACCTCGGCCTAACTCCGTCTGACAGACATTTCTTAAGATTTTTCGATTGATTATTGCGTTGTCGTTCTCAGCTGTTCACAACATTCCGTTCAACGGAATGCGAACGGCAACCCTGATCGTATTATTTCTCTTGAGGTCGACCGCAAACGAACCGCAACCTAACCGCAGCCGAATCGCAATCGCAGTGTTACGTTATTTCTGGACAGTACTGTATATGTATCACCTACATGTATACATTGTTGATCGTTTTTATAAATGAAAAAGATAGTAGCTATACTAACTCAGTAAGCATGAATTAAATGTGATACATATACCGTATGTGAAAAAGTTAATAGAAAAAGGGAGAAAATTGAAGATGTTGATTGTCAAAAGAGTACCTGGTATATCTTTCATTAACATTTCCTCAAAAGCTTTCACCTTTCCCAACTTGGAGCGTCTTCTTCCGACTGCCTCGTCCATCTCTTTTAAATAGAAAGGAAGATAATGAATTCCAGTAGAAATAACACAATTGGACTATTCTTTCGTGTTTACCGTGAAAAATACTGAATTTGTCAAACTGTTAAAGGCTTCAAGCAGATTATAATGATCGGAGTTGCTGTTAATATATGGCCGGAAATTAGGTTGCAGTATGTTAACAAGTATTTCAGCAAATATTTTTCTCCTGTTAAAACTTTGGATCATTTAGGTTAGAGCAAGGTCGGCATCTGATCGTTCCACTTTAGTTTGCAGAAATTTATGCAATTGTCTTTCTGTATGGGGGATTCATCCAAGGACCAAGGTTGACAGATAGATTGCATTAAATAAACCCTCTTGTTCGTCACGATAAGCGATCGTCATTGTCGTTTTGATCACCTTATTTTAACATGCCCAACGAACTCTCATTGATATTTATATTAAAGAATTCATTGCCTCGCAACATCGAGTTGACCATGGGGTTGCCACTCTTTCTCTACTTTATGGGTTTAAATTGGAGGCGTGTTGATCATCCCTGCGAACCTTTCTAAACCTAATTTCATTTCAGACAACGTCAGTCATATTAAGCAACGTAATAAATTAATGTGGCTATTTTAATTAACTCCCGAATTAAATGGTATCAATTTGTTACTTAATACGAAATTACATAATGTTTCATCAATTTCACTCGACTTAACACGCATGTCACCTGCCTATGTCGCATAACTTATACTAAAACATATATCACGATGCAAAGTTTGTCTGTTGATGGCGTTGATAGCTGAAGCGTATAGAGACCCACTTATTTACTATGTATATTGCACAGTATAAAATGATCATGAAGTCTAAACGGCATAATCTGAAATGTCTTAATAGTATAATGTACGATGTTATAACGGGAGAGAAACTTACAACTTGTAACAAAACCCAAGATTTCAAACACTGGCTGACATTTTATGAAAATTCGCTAAGGTTGCTTCCCACCTAATTATACATATACATATATCTCTACTGACTCTACAAAACCTTTAATATGCCATAACGTTTTAAACCTATATAGGTGGAAATATTATGAAAGATAATTTCACATGCATTACTATTTTCCCACTCTTTCGATTGGGAGAAGGGACCATTTGATCCAAAAGCTATATTGTTGCATTCCACACTTGATTTCACACCACAAATTGTACGGATCAAAATTTTACCCTAAAACGTCTAATATTGGAATCGTAATCTTACTCTGTCGGTGGTTAAATCCTCCGAAATGGTGTCTGTAACAAATCTTTTGTCGTAGCTAACTATTCCAAGTAACATTGACCACGATATAAGGAGTGTATGAATAACCAGACTCGAACAGTTGCGTGTTAAATTACCCAACTATTAAAAATTCATGAATAATTATATTTATGGAGACATTGCACACACAGTGTGTTTCTTGTCAAAGACAAAGCGTGTGCATCAGTGCATGCCGAATATCATTACATAACAAATGAAACGATTTATAAACAAGCAAGGGCAGCTGCTTCTTTTTTCATTTAAAACTATAAGAATTTGCAAATTAATACTTTTTAAAAGAAGATAACCCTACAGAAATGCTAAGCTACGAGAATGGCGCAATCATCTGCTGGAAAAAATTCAGACATCGAAATCATCAAACAAAAAACACGATAAAGACGAAGTTCAGAAATACTACAAAGTCCAAAGTTTTGGAAACATTCTTTAGTATGCTTCAATACAGAAGCGCCACGCATTTCACGAAAATATGCCCTCAGTCTTAATTCTTTTTGCATCTCAGCTACAGACGAATTTGCCTTTGGAAAATATAAAAAATGCTTATTCATCAATTCAGACGAACTTCGTAGTTATATTCAGCTTACTATTCTCAACGGTAAAGGCCACTTTCATGGGCGTCAAACGAACGTTAACTGAAAGGGACCATATTCATAATTCTATTTTGTTCAGGGCCGAGAAAGAAAATTTGAAATCATTGCAAGCTTTAAACGTTTCATTGAAAATAACATAAACTGAACAAATGATCCGATTACCCTTAAAAGCTTAGGGAACTGTACGCGGCCATTTTATATTACTTTGACACCTGACATAATATCATCAGATTCCGTCAGAAAACATTGCGGCTCTCGTATATTTTAAGTCATTATGATTCATCTAAAAGTAATGCCTAGTTTCCATTCAGTCGTTAGCTGTCATTACATGTCTTTCCGCGTCCTTGGAATAATCGTAAAAGTCAACGACATAAAAAGACAGGAAACGACATGATTCTTCCCATAATTCGTTAGATCGGTCTTTCACGATTATTCCAAAGACACGGAAAGACATATTACGACAGCTAACGACTGAATGGAAACTAGGCATAACTTAAATCATCCGTTTGTTCAAGACACCACGTCACGTGTGTTTTTTTTTTTGAAAAGTTTTCGGTCCGTACACCCGGGTATTTATCGGTGAAATAAAAAGGCCTGAATTAATAACAGACCGAAAGGTCTGCAAATAACAATTATAAATATACACCTGGTGTTTTCTAGAAATTGATAATTCAAGTTATTAATTCACCATGCAATATTTCAAGAATATTATTAATCTATACATTCAAGTAATTGCGTTTAATAAAGAAGAATTTATTCCGTTTTATTTTTTGCCTTTTCGACTGGGACACACGCCTCAAGGTACATACAGAGTCCTACCCAGTTGAACACCATGCATGCACATGCATTTTCGACTGACTATATATAGTTGACTATAAAAGGTAGTATTGTCTAGTATATGACACACAACGCATTGCTGAAGTATCGATGCCGCGAGTAGTGCTCATACACTCACTCCTATCCTAACTTGCAATTCAACTCCGTTAATTCCATATAGGACTGGCCGAGCACGTACTTCGATAACGTCTTTATGTTAGACATAGTCCTGAATTACGCTAAAACTTCTTGTAGACATAGTCCTGAATTACGCTAAAACTTTCCATTATTCGGTATAATACCTGGATCAAATCTTAGTATATTTTTAAATCGAGGACTCTCCTCTGTAATTTGCATGGTTACAGGTTGGAAAAATCTGGTTGAATAGCGGTTATCTATAGCTTTCGTAAAACCGGTCCAATGCAAATGTATATAGCACGCTTGCATGCATTTTGTTTTTTGTATAGATTTATTGGCTATGCAACCTTTAAGGAAGCATTGCTGAAAACTCATAATGCCTTTACTAGAATCCCGCATAATTAAACTCCAAATAATAATATATTAGATTTTTTCAAGACCGTTTTCTTGCCTCAGTAACCGTGATGAAAAGAAATTGATTGAAACTATGCATGCAGGGCCTGCATGCATGGTTTTCGATCAATTTCTTTTCATCACGGTTACCCACGGAAAATTTAATTTTATATTCGGTAATATACTTAAGTTGCTTTCATATAATCAGTTTAAGTATATATTAAAAATAACGTTCGCCGGCGACATTACACTGAATTTTCTGCCAGATCGGATTTATATAGACGTTATTATAATTGTACAAGTCATTATCGGCAAATGTATTAAAGTGAACATGTTTGTGTCAATATGGCTCTAAGCGGCATATTTTTCACCTGTCGCCAGCGCTGAAATCCAACGCAATGACAATAAAAACAATTACAGAATCCACCAGGGGGTGATTCTTTATTGGACAAGAGTTTACGAAAAATATTTTAATAGCAGGTCATTGTCACATAAATACGTCCAATTTCATAAATCTATTCCGTCTTTATGCAATGCACAGAGCAGAGTGGAAAGATTTATAATCTACTGTCATCGCCGGCAAATCAGTCATGAACAGTTCAAATGACGATTTTATACAAGTCTGTGAGACCGCATTTGGAAGAATGAGCAAAATTGTTGTCCGATTCCCATCAGATTTGTATCTGGTCAGCCACGTTTTGGTCATCGCGTTTAACAGTCTGCTTATTGTTCCAACTGTAATGCTGAACATTGTCTCCGTTACCGCTATTATGAAGTCGACCCGTCTGAGAAGCAAGCCATGTTACTTTCTCGTTGTCATCCAGTCCGTGGTAGACCTGATAGTCGGTTCAATTGGCATTCCGTTGTTCATCTTCTATGTTGTCTCGCCGATTGTGGGATTCTTAAACTGCACAGTCAGCTTTGTCACCGCGCAAACGTTCTTTATCCCGTCGGCTGTATCCATCATAACGCTATCTGCTATGACCGTGGAAAGATATATCGGTGTTTTGCATCCGTACGCCTACACAACGAAAGTTACCAAGGGAAAAATTATGGCTTATGAATGCTGCGGATGTTTCCTTATCATTCTCCTTTTTGGTGTTTCACTACCGCTCAAAAGAGTAATAACGTACTTCTCTACATTTCTCATTCTGGTATTTTTCATTCTCAATGCGTACGTCTATTCAAGGATATACGCGGTTGTTGTAAAGATAGCACGTTCGGATAAAGCTCAAAATAGAAACCTAAGAGACCAAAATTCAAGTAAGAGAAAAACGTTTATCGACGAAATAAAACAGGCGAAATCCTGTTTTCTCGTGCTGATGTGCTTTGTCGTATGTTTTCTTCCATTAGCACTTACCAGTGTTGTAAGCCCGAGTGGCTTCGATCACGTTTTGTACCAGATATGGTCAATGACGTCGATAATGCTAAATTCCAGCCTAAATTCAGTTATATTCTTTTGGACGAAGAGAGAGCTAAGAGTGCAGGCTTTACACGTTTTAAAAAGAAACGCAGTAACCCCATGAAGTAGTCGGGGAGGCGAGTTTTTCTATAGCGGATTGCTTAAGCAGTTACATTTTATACCGCATCGCAGAACGGACGCCTGCTCGTATACTACTATAATTACATAACTATATGAAACTTATTGGATTGCTTTTCCATCACTTCCAGCACAGCTTATCCCTAATCCGTTAAAGAATCGCTATGTTATAATTAATACAGCAGCCTAACCGGGGCCTCAACTTCACAATGACATAAGAGGGTAAATAATATGACAGCGAATTATTTATAGCCATTGGTGTACATATAGATGTATTTGCTGTGTGCTGTGGTGAATGATATTAATAGAGACCTAAGCATGATGTATGCAATTGAATGAGGTATAAGCCATTCAAAATATTGAGTTTATGTTTTGGAACAATCCTGCAGAGCCTTATTCGAGCTATATATAGCGCTCGCTTGCGTCTACACAGGACGTGAAAATCGACGTTTTGCCGTTGTAAACAGGACGTAGACGACGTCTAAAATATAACTTTAATTATTAATTTCCTTTCAATGACGCATTGTATTATTAACTTAGCCGCCGTCGTCGTGTTCTCGTCCTACATGCTTAGAGCTCGTTTTCCACTAGGCTCTCGAATTTATTCGCGCGAACAGATAAGAAGCGTTTCTACTATTTCCCGGCGAATTTTTTCACAAACCAATCACATCACCGGATTTCAGATTTCGCTTCGCGCAGCGAATGGACCCTTAAGGTCGACACAGACCGGACGCGAATTGGCAACGCGGCGCGAATTTTTAACGTTTTTAATTTTTCAAAATCAAATAAATTTTGTCTATCTATCATAATATTCTTGTAGATTACATAACAATAAAATATTTTGACTGCTCTAGCGTCCATAGTTTCCAAATTTTACTTCCAGAATGTAATTTATATGCTTCTGAAAACTCAAAATTCGCGTCGCGTTGCCGCATCGCGTCCGGTCTGTGTCGGCCTTAAGGCCCACACAGACAGGACGCGAATTGCCAACGCGGCGCGAATTTTCAACGTTTTATATTTTTCAAAAGCAAATAAATTTTAACTTATCAAAATTTTCTTGTAGATTGCATTAAAGACTGCTCTATCGTCCATAGATTCCAAATTTTGATCCCAGAATTTAATTTATATGCTTCTGAAAACTGAAAATTCGCGCCGCGTTGCCGCTTCGCGTCCGGTCTGTGTCGGCCTTAAATTAGGACCCTAAAGTCCGCCGCGCATTGCCGCGCACGAGAGCTATCAGCTGATCAACAAATAGCTCTCGTGTGTGGTGGGCTTTAAGGTCCCTATTCGCCTAGTGGAAACCGGTAGTCTAGCGCGCGATGGCTTGGAGTGGGGTTTCAAAATAATTTGTTATATAGGTGCTTTGTATTTTAAATGTGGTTGGTTCATTCGTATTTCGTATAGTCGCATGTCTTTAAATAAATGCATTGTTTCCCCCCAGGGAAGCAAGTGAAAAATTGTTGCCCGCTTCTTGTCATAACAAAGTAAAGTGGGTTTTTTTAAATGAAATTGTTGTGAAACATGTATGTTTTTGCTCCTATATAACAAAACGCTTAATGTACACTGCCTCGGGAAATGATGAGTTTTGGTTTCCCTCGAGTCTCAATGTTTCCCTCGACTTCGTCTCGGGAAACATTCAGACTCTTGGGAAAACAGAACTCACTATTTCCCTCGGGAGCATACATTAAGTGAATAATATACCATAATTAAACGGGCTTGCATATAATTTATATATAGCACCTCTGAGGAAACGATTAATTATGAAATGAGAAGTATAGGTTTTCTTAACGATCTCCCACGAAGTTAGACATACAACTTTACAATATCTTTATTACATTTTGTAAAGGACGAAAATAAAAAGCTAATTTCTATGCAGGTATATCAGTAAGCTTTTGATATTGATTTGGCATGCATATAATTTGATATAGGTACATAGTATGCAAGGTTACCAGAACCAGAATAATAAAAAACAACAGTAAATCAAAGGATAAAACTCACTTTGAATTTAGCCAAAACGTAACGGACTGAAATCATTTCTGCCTTGATGGCATTATGCGCATGCTGAGTTATTGTTGTTTTGTTTGATTAAGATATGTAATACATCAGCGCCATGCCGCCGTTGTATAAGAACTTTAATTAAAATGATGTATCAAATTAAATCTACGCAAGAGAAGTGAATAAACGGCGCGAGTTGTGTAGCTAACATCACTATCCTCTCTTAAAACGTCAAGCTTTACTGTCTTGAAGTGACAAAGGCCGCAGAGATTCGCCCTCTGTAAACGATAAAACAACTTCTGTTGTATCACTTCATTTTCTATATCATTCAATTTCGTCACAACCAATTAAGTTGACTGGCAAAAATTTAAATTTTTATTCTAAAAATTTTACTGAGGTAGAAGTTATCAAGAAAGACCGAAGTGGCATCATAGAGACAACGTCTATGACCCAGATTTGACTAGTTATGTGGGCGGATTGCTCTTCGCACCAGATCACAAGTCGTCTGTTCACTCTATGCACTGCAGTGCAGATAACCGTTAGACAACTGTTTGGTAGTATACAATTACTTAATGGTTTCCGTGTTTGGATGGCCTGATCCAAACACGCGGGAATGTTGCGAGAGTTAAGAAAAGCGCGTGTTTTATAAAATAACAAACCATAATAAATTTGTTTTTAAATTCCCGCGAAATTTCCGTGTTTGGATGGCCTGATCCAAACACGGGCTTCAACCAATCAGAACACGCGTTATATACATGTTATTTTAAATAACTTTTAAATAATGATCTGATCCAAACACTTGGGAATGTTGCTCAAGTTAAGAAAAGCTCGCAAAACACTCGCCTTCGGCTCGGCTTGTATAACCTCTATATATTGAGTTTCAATATCACCTCCACAGCAGCATGATTTTTGCTCCTTGGAGCGTATGGTGTTGCAGCCGCATTAATTGTGTGGAGTTTTTCACGACAGCACCCCTCTTTTCTGAAATTCGCAAGGCTCCGAATGGATAAGTTCACGCCGTTATCTCAGTAACAAAACATGAAAAGAGCTGCATCAACAACAATCAACTGATCAAAATAATTTATGAATGACATGGAACTCTATTAGGTCCGTATAAATATGTACAAGTATGTATACAAAGAGCTCTTCGTATGGTGAAGATATAGACAGGGATATACACGCCTAAAAACGCTCAGGTTGATGCAAGTTGATATAAACAGGATAGAGCAATGTTGTGCTGCCCACATTGTTCAGAGTTGTTATCAACATTGAACAATATTGTTGAAACTGAATCGGGTGTAACAATATTGTTCAATATTGATAACAACTCTGAACAATGTGGGCATTATCCTGTTTATATCAACTTGCATCAACCTGAGCGTTTTTACGCGTGTACCGCAAAACAAAGCGATATTTTTCAGTTAAAAAAGTGTACATTTATCAGGCCGGCCACTATAAAAAGGTCATATCATCACATTTCATTTTTGGTTATTCGACGTGACTTGTATTCATGTAGGTAATGCAACAACGATATTATTCTAACTTATTGCACTTCTTGCGCAATCTTCTTGCACTTCTTCTTCTTCTTCTTCTTCTTATTCTTCTTCTTGCACTTATTGCGCTCTTTACACACACAAGGATGGCGTCGATGAACAACAGAAACCTGGTGTGTACCGCATTCCATGTGAATGTGGTTTGGTTTACATTGGAGAGACCGGTAGAAATCTCTCAATACGTCTTAAAGAACATAAGACGAACTGCGAGAAAGGTAAACTGGATAAGTCTGCAGTAGCTCACCATGCATGGACTTATGATCATCGCATTAAATGGAACGATGCTAAAAACGCTCAGGTTGATGCAAGTTGATATAAACAGGATAGAGCAATGTTGTGCTGCCCACATTGTTCAGAGTTGTTATCAACATTGAACAATATTGTTGAAACTGAATCGGGTGTAACAATATTGTTCAATATTGATAACAACTCTGAACAATGTGGGCAACACAACATTACTCCATCCTGTTTATATCAACTTGCATCAACCTGAGCGTTTTTACGCGTGTACCGCAAAACAAAGCGATATTTTTCAGTTAAAAAAGTGTACATTTATCAGGCCGGCCACTATAAAAAGGTCATATCATCACATTTCATTTTTGGTTATTCGACGTGACTTGTATTCATGTAGGTAATGCAACAACGATATTATTCTAACTTATTGCACTTCTTGCGCAATCTTCTTGCACTTCTTCTTCTTCTTCTTCTTCTTATTCTTCTTCTTGCACTTATTGCGCTCTTTACACACACAAGGATGGCGTCGATGAACAACAGAAACCTGGTGTGTACCACATTCCATGTGAATGTGGTTTGGTTTACATTGGAGAGACCGGTAGAAATCTCTCAATACGTCTTAAAGAACATAAGACGAACTGCGAGAAAGGTAAACTGGATAAGTCTGCAGTAGCTCACCATGCATGGACTTATGATCATCGCATTAAATGGAACGATGCTACCATTTTAGCAAACGATAAGTTTACTGTCTCTCGTAAAATGAGAGAATCTATTGAAATTTATAAACATCAAACTATCGTCCAAGAGGGAAAGCCACTTAATAGTACGTGGCGTGCTCTTTTCGGTGTCTCTTAGTCAAATACTTGTCTAGGGCGCGCGCATTAATTAGAACTTAATTAAATGAAACCGTTTAATTAATAGCGCGAGCAAACTAATCACGACTAACATGATATTTAAGTGACGCGCAAACGTGTATTCAAGTAATTGCACTGATGAAGGTCCGGGTTAACGGACCGAAAGCTTTGCAGTATTTAATACTTACGTGGTGTACCTACAAGTTATTATAATTACTAAAGTCGCCATGCAATCATACAAGAAAATTATTATTGCACTTCGTCTCGTCAGGGAAAAAATAAAAATCCAATTTCTGTACATCTATTAGGCTTCCACACTCTAGTAGAATATTGTTTTTCGTATTGATATACCCAATAGTGGTCGAAAACAAGCACCTACTTGCAGTGAGTGTTTAAATAAAATATAAAACTGCAGAAACTCAAAAGCTAATCGTTTTGAAGTTTGTACATCAAAAAGGTTCAAGCCGTATTTCCAATTGAAGAGACGTTATTGTATATGATTAATATATACAACATACTGGCAGGTACTTTTTTGAAAATAAGTTTTAAATTGAAATAAACTCAGCAATAAGGAAAGTAATGCAAAGCAAGCGAAGCGAGTTATAACTTATGAGGAGGAGGGGGTGTCACAATCCCCCTGACCCCAGACCACTGCTCCCACATGCTGTTAGCAAGGAACATAAGAGCGACTTTCTTGATCGAACGAAACTTTTTGCTTGATTTTCTTTTAAACTCTGAGAATTCGACTGAAGAAGATTCACGACTGCACACATCTAACCCAAGAATTAAGGTAAAAGGCCCTGGGAACAAAGTTGGGTCGCCGGATTGGGTCGTTTGTGGTCGTTTGTCCTTTGTTTTTTCATTCTTTCAAGAACTATGAACGTCATGGACGTTAAGGGATACCAAGGGGTATAATCCGATGCCAATATGGCGGCCGAAAAGACCAGTAAAATTAACGATATTCAATCAAAATTGAGAAAGAAAGGCTGGTAAGTTATACTTTCTCAGCTGATGATTTTTTTAAAGGCACTACACAAATTGACATATTTATTGTGTAGGTTGTAAGATATGCGCAAGTTTTATATATGCAGACAAGACTGTGAATAATTTACACTTGAATTTACAATTTTTATATACAGTTATGAGTTATATATACTAAAAACGGTTTAGGTGAAAAACAACTCAAAATAGTCATATAAAACTCAGACTGCAAGCTAACAACAAACAATAAACGTTTTCAACTTTACTGTCTCTACAACCACATTTATGCTGTTATTTATTAAACAATGTATTTTTCTCTATATTATTAAATGCAGTTCATTATTCATTGGCATTGCATTAGTTGCATATTTTATAGATAACATGATAATCAGTTTTACAACATATAAAAAAGCATCTATATTTGTTGTAACTGTTTTGAGATACTGATTGCCATATTATTTGAAGTTGACAATGGCTAATGAACCAAATGTTGTTATTGGTGTATTGTCAGCATGTGTAATCTAAATGCTAATCTCAAATTTAGTATTTAAGGGAACCAGGTTCACTAGGCATCTTGTTTCTTTATCTTCTACCTTGGGTGACCTGATAGATCCAAAAGGTACTCGCATCACCTACCCACAACACGAATAAGGTGCAGACATGGGACATTTGTGTGGGAAATATCTACCATCATCTCAATTCAAGCTGAATAATAATCAAAAGCATATAAATTAATTTTGGTGTGTGAAAGTGAAAAAGGAAGGTCTTTAATGATAAAGAATTAGTGTGGCTCAAAAAATGCAAATGGAATCACAATTAAATGAGGATGAAAATATTGTGTAATGGTGTAATATACAAAAGTTTCATTTAGTAGATCGCTTTTTGTTGAATGTCCTAAAAAATATTCTTTTTTGATGTTAGGAGTATTAAATCTGATGCAATTGAGGAATTTGTTCAAGAATTTGGTGAGAGACAATGTACTGATGAAGATGTAATTAAGTGGGCTGTCAATGTAAGTGCATATATAACTCATTTTATTCTATAACAAATATTTGATATTGTGAATTTCTTCTTTTGCCTTCTATAAATGGTTTTGTGTTTCTGATACTCAAGTTTCACGCCCAGCAGCAGCAGACTAAATAACTTTAGATGGTCCTTTACATTTGTTTGATGCTAATTATGCTAGAATTAAAGCTTCAAATTACCAAATAATAAAACACTGATCATTCTTTGCAGGTTCAATTTTCATAATTTTGTTATCTCCACTTTTTTATTGTTTAAAAAATAGTGTGATTTGAAAGTGGTTGGATCTAAAGTACTTTCTGAGCATGTAAAGCGTGGACAACTACAATCGGTATGAGTGTATATGATGTACTTCTACTTGTCGGAACTTGTCGTTTCTTGACTATCCATGAGTACTAGCAATTGCCAATTTGATTGTTCTTCTCATCTTCTTTTACTATATCAGATTGAAGGACCTGTTGTCATGCAGATTCAAAAAATTCGCAATATTTCAGCACCAAAGGCAAATGAGGAGTCTGGGGCTGCTCCACGCTTGCTTAAGCTACAACTTACTGATGGTCACATAACATGCTTTGCTCTGGAGAATTCTTTCATACAAAAACTCAGGTATGCTGTTACTCTAACTGTAAGTGATATGAATTCAATCAGGTACCGGTATATAATCCATCACAATTATTGCTACTCTGGTTTAATTTAATATATGAAAGTAATCACCACCCAAAGATTACTTGTAAATTACTTTGTGTGGTGATTACTTTCATTAATTAAACCAGAGTAGTGATAATTGTGATAATTATATCATCATAAATATATACAATCAAAAAACGAGCTGTCTTTATTATTCATGTAGTTCAAATATGTGTTAATATTTTGCTAGTTTATCAATACCACCGGGAACTAAGATTAGACTGAAAGGTACCGTTTTTTTAATCTCTGGTTTTATGTTACTGGAACCCCGGAACGTCGACGTTCTTGGTGGTAAAGTTGAAAAACTTGTTGTGAAATGGGAAACGAACAAGGTATGTGTGAGCAGCCATGAGATATGAAGAAAATTCCATTCCATATTCAGTATTCACTTTATATTGTGCACTTCATGTTATAAAATAGCATGTATATAACGTGTGTTCTGTTTTGTCGAAGCCCGTGTTTCGATCAGGCCTTCAGCTTGTGTTTTACGCGCTTTTTTTTTAACTCTCGCGACACTTCCGTCTGTTTGGATCAGGCCATCTAAACATCTATCACATGCAGTTTTTCTATTGTTTATGTTGCAAGATTATTGATATTTTAATTCTGTTTACACAATGAGAGAAGTCTTTTTGGATGGGGGGGGGGGAGGGGAATCATTTAGGTATCCGTACATCAAAAGAAAAATACAAAAAAAATGAACAAATTGGGAAGTATAAAATATATGAGCCAGTGGGCACGAGTTAAGACTCAAAAATTTCTCTTTCGTTAAGAATGTTAGTCAACAGAGGGGTAAACCTAGTATGTTGAGTGATGACGGTCCACCATTGTTCATTGGGTTTGACACCAGAACGAGTGGTGCTTTGAAGAAAACCTCTATTGCGAAATGTGAGTGCATAGAAAATTAGTGCTGTACAGTATGTGCTGTAGGCATTTTGTGGGCAGCGGTATTTGAACACACGACTTCCCCATAGGCTAAACCCTAGGCTATATAATGAGGCGGGTTGCATAGAAAAATATTATATATCATACATGCAGTAGCGTAACATAACATAACAAGGAGAAATTTCGCATTAAGACAATCGGCAAATTTGTGTAGATTTTCATGCATGCAGCAACATGCATGTAACCACTGGCCATTTCACACCTAGCAAACGATTTCCTGAGCTGACCATGCAGACCTAAGTTTATATTGTAAAATGACTGAAATGATTGGATAGCTCCATCATTCGGTACTAAAATAGTCATAAAAAGTGGAGTAACAATCACCCGTTTTTCTGCTGCATAAAGCAGGCATTTATGGACTCTCTAAATGTTGAAAAACCATCAACACAGTACGAAATCGTCAAGGACTAAAGGTCAAATGTTATCACTCGAATATTTTTTATCGCCTCGATTTTGGTAACATTTGTTTTATCAATACATTTTAAGAATCCCCTTTTAAAGTTGAAGTGTGTAACAGCTTTTCATAGACGGTTATGTCTTTGCAAAATGACATATATAACACAGCGAAATTACCCTGGGTACGAGTTTGCATGGGACACATGTTGTTGATTACCAGTCTTTACTCGCTCATATTTCGCGCATGCGCAAACCCAACGAAACGATTGTCCACCGTTCGTGACATCTCGGAATTAGTTCTCTCGTTCGCTGATTAGGCATTCTAATAGGCTTAACCTGGAGAATGTAAACAAATTTGCCGATTAGTTTAAAACAAAATTCGTCCTTGTTGCGTATACTATTGGGATTTTCCTTACCTTTAGCCCACTTGCCTAAATCAACCATTAATCACAACTTACATCTGAGTTACAACATCTAAAACAACAACAAAAATCCTTAGAAATGTTGTTTCTTACCAAAGTCAAATCTTTCATGACCATGCAGTAATAGATGATAGCCAGAAAACACAGAGCTCATTGCTGAAAGAGGAAAGCACGAGCCAAAAGGAAGAAAACAAGAAAATACACGAGGATTTTGAACACAGCCGCGATCAACGTATCCAGACTGCTAAACAGGGTAATGAAAGCCATACTAACCCCACGAAAACCGAAAACAGAGCACATAAAAGTTTTCAATCCGGCGGAAATCAGGTATTGTTTTTCTTCTTATGTATCACTTTGCTTTTTTTTTGGCAATCCGTAGTGGAAAATGTGAAAAGTTTTGTTACTTACACTACATCATTACATACACTGTGAAATTTGCTATACGACCATGCACGCAGCAATTCGAAGTTGTATTGGTCAACCAGCTGTTTGATTTGTGTTTGATAACTTGAAAAATAAAGCTTCAGTGGTTCCATAAACAATTTCTGGTTGAACACATTGTCAAAATTAACCTCAAAAGAAGGCTGTTGGAAAGTTCCTTTGGCCTTTTTCACAAACTAAATTGCTGATGTGTAACTTTATTACTTTGGCGCGACGTTTTTAGAGGATGCAACTTGGTTCGTCAGGCGACAGAGGTCAGTGGCGAGTTGAGAGTAAACTTAATGCAAAGCCGTCCAACGTTCAAAAACCAGATGAAAGTGGGCAAAATCAAAGAGACGAGGCGTTCTCAAACAAAGGCGGTGGACAGGTAGTGTATATACATTGCAGGTACCGGTGTCGTTGAAATATGCGATCATGCTGGGGCCGGTTGTTCGAAAGGCGTTTAGCTTAAACGGTGGATAAGCCAAAGTTTAAAAATACTCTCATGGATCTTGTGAATGACTGAACTTGCATCTTATGCGTTTAATTTGTACTTCCATTGAAAATTAAACTTTTTACATCAAAATATTTCAGCTCGGTTGTTCAATAAATCGATAATTTTGTTTTCCATTTTGAACTTACCCACCGTTTAAGCTAAACGCCTTTCGAACAACCGGCCCCAGATAAATAAGTATGAGATGCAAGGATTAGTAATTCTATTGCTGTTTGCTGCATATTTCGTCCTGCATGCATGGCCCTAGGTTGTAACTCTACAGGGTGTCTCGAAAAAAACGAAAACTATTGAAATCACTCATTGTTAAAATTTGAATGGCGTGTTCACGAATTTTAGCCCGTGGGGATTTAATGCAACTTATAACATGCTAAATACGAAAAATTTGACATTGTGAATATGATTAAATTTAAATTAGCCTTGTTATTGCTTCGAAAGAAAATGGTACAGCTGACCGCGGAACAACGAGTGTTTATTGTGATATTATCCAAACAGAGTGCTTAGGCATTCAAACCCTATCAATTACATTGTTATGGGTGATTTCAATAGTTTTTGGGGTTTTTTGAGACACCCTGTATACACCCTTGTTACCACTTTGTTCCGAGGGTATTCTTCACGCGGGCAGGGCGAATATTCTGGGACTAGGTTGCTCCTGTTACAGAATATTTGTTAAAACACTATTCCGTAGTACTTCTATGTAGATGTTTAACAAACTTCTACTGTTAAAGTATATTTTTTTACATATCTAATCTCTTCAGCAACAGAAATATACAGAAAAGAGTAATCGCGAAAGAAGACCGAACTCTCAAAGAGGTACAATATTTTTCCAAATATATGAAATTATGCCATTCCTCACTTGCATTATTTAATTTAAATATACAGCAGAACATTTGTTTTCACACTTGCGTAAAAATATTAAACCAACGATCAGCTTGGGAATCTACCTATACGAACAAGTTTTTCTATTGTTTGACGAGTTGTGAAACCCAATAATCTATAGAAAATGATTTCCAAAAGAATTAACGAATTATAAAAATTGTTTACTGTTGTTAAAAAAAGTCAATCAAAAAACTCGATCGTATTAGGCAGATGCTGTCGGGTCTAAATGGGAGGAGGTGTTGATTCCATATTCTAATATTCAAAAATATTATTAAACGTTATAATGCCACTGCTAATTGGGCAAATCCACATAACGTATGTAGACACACTGTTTCACAGGTGGAAGACACAATGACGATTATGGGGACGAACAGGCGACTTCCCGACCGTCGGAGGGAACTCTCTGGGATTTTCTTGAAACTAAGCTTCCTTCAAAAGGTACAAGCACTATCGTGCTCTTTCTTCTTAAAATATTTACCCCCTTACCTTAGTTTTAAGGGTATATAATACTAGAGCATGCACTATATACGTGTCGTCATGCAATTTTCCTTGCTATTCGTGGTATTGACTTCTTGGATATAGCTTGAAATTTTTAATATTCCATATGAAGTTATATATACTATATTCAGTATTGTTATTATTATTACTTTTACTATTGCCATTATTGGTTGTTGTTATTATTACTTTTACTATTTTCATTATTAGTTATTATTATTACTTTTTCTATTACCATTTTTGATACAAAGATGGTATTTCAAGACAAATTATTTTGAAGTGATTACAAAAAATGTATTTTACATGTGTAATGTATAACAACTGTTAATGCATTAAATCAACAACTTGTACAAAACATCACGCATGTACGTTTGTTATGTGCATTATGCAGAGTTTTCAAAATAGCAAAATGCAGAATTGTTATTAAATTGTAGGTAGTAAAGGAGAAAAAGTTAAAACAAAAGAAACCGCAGACGATCATCTAGATGAGGATGGAAGTCAATACAATCGACAAGCAAGCGTTCAGCGCGATGGTCATTATAGAAATCAACGTGGAGATCAGCGGGAACACGGCAGGATAAAGGGTTCTGCGGGGGATCAATCGGAAACGAGCAAAAAACAAGCAGTTTCCAAAGATTATCAGCAAAGTAAATATGAAAACCAAGGACGACGGTATGAGCGCGATGGTCGAGAAAGGAACGAAAAGGGAAACGAGCGTAACAGGAAGCAATCCGAACGAAGTCGGAACCAACAGAAAAGCGAACATCAATGGACAGAGAAGGATGGAAGAGCTGCAGAGAGATATGATAATAACATGAAATACAGCAAAGAAAAACAGAGGGGTAGCGATCAGCGTGACTACCAAAGGAACAATCCACCGTCGGGAGCAAATAGTGCTAATAAACATGGCAAACAAACAGAGAAGTCGCATGAAAATCAAAGTGGCCATGGCGGGAAGGATTTCTCTCAAGACGACAAGCAACGAAATGATAACTATAGAAAAGAGCATTCAAAATATGATAAGGCAGACAATAGGCAGTCACAGGGTCGTGGTGGTACACGACAAGACTCTCATGCAGGCAGTGGAACACAGGATTTTAGAAGACAAAGCCACGGCCGCGACAATCGCGGTGGTGTGTTGAGGGAACAAAATTATCGAGGAGGTAAATCGGGCATGGATGTGCGTTCCGACACAGAGAGAGTGAAAACCGAAAAAAATTCGCAGCAATCCAGGGATAAACTGGGCGGGAGAAATTCACCCATAGGACAATATAGAGGGAGTAAAGATAGACCGACAGAGGGCAGGAGTGAGATTTCAGGTAAAAAACAGAAAGGAGAGTCCAAGGCAACGCCTGAAAATAATGTAATTTCTAAAGGAATAAAAGGAACGCAGGAAAGGGATAGTCAAATGCACGAAACGTCAGTACCAGCTGGGCAAAGCGATAATCAGAAAAGTAAACACCAGAATGAAAGATACAGAGAAGGTATATCTGGAGGTCGCAGTTATGAATCTCGGAAGCAGGTAAAACGAAATTTTGTATAATATACTATAAATATTCTCTGGCAACAGTGCAATTTTTTTAACAAGAGTGCAAATTTTTATAACAAAGGTATCTTATTTGATGTTGGAAAATAGCAAGCCAATCATCTTGAAACCAATATTTGATTAACATTTATATTTACCAAAGCACTACTTTATAAAACACTAGAGAAAAGGGAGTTCGACACTTGGCATATAATTTTATCTTTTATCTTTTTTAAAAAGCATTGGTGGAACGAGGGAGAAGATTGTCTCGCTTTTCACGTCGAACATAGACAGGTATTTTTATATAGCACGTACGTGGAATAGTTACACGAAATTTTACCGAAAAGATGCGCAATTCTATAGATATAGCAAGAGCCTAGCACACACGAAAATGGAACTTCGCGCTCATATAGAAAGAGTCAAGCATATCACATCATAAACATTAAACTGAATATAATACTTTTGAATTTTTAGTACTATCTTGCAAAAATTATCAAGGTAGAAGTTCGTCATAAAAGTTGTGTTGTAATGTTCCACGACACTGGCAAACGAGAAACGATTAATTGGTCAAATCTTCTTCCTTTGGTGAGCTATGCTTTTCTTCTTATTTATTCCCCTAAATCACTCAGAACTAGAAATAAATCTGCCAGGGTACTAGCTGCAAGGGTTACGTGGCATAAAAGTTATACTTTTGTTCTCAAATTATGGACAAGATTACTGGGTGCGCACCCTCCTAGAATGAACCCCCCCCCGAGAAGAGCAAATGGTCTAAAATAAGGTGATTCGAAAATTGCATTACGCTGAAATTGGTTAGAATATTGAAGGAGCAGTTTAAAATGAAGTTGTTAATTTTCATGATTTATATTATGATTTGTAATTATATTATTTAGATTTTTTAATTGATAATAAAGCCTGCATGCAGGTTTACAATTATTTAAGGGGTACAAAATGCCCAAAACACATTTCAGTAGGGTAAAAATATAAATATTTCCTGTGGAAAGTGTGTCCCTGAATTTCGGGCAGACCCCAGAGCAAATTCGTCTCTATTGGTCCAAGATTTATATGTGCATTCATGTCGCCCACTGATGTCGCCCTGCGTTATGTTCCGAGATCGCTCGACCAATCATAAGCCAGGATTTTAACAAAAATTACCTTTATAATTATGCTAATCCTAATTATTAGGACTTCGAGGTAACGCGTCAACCTTTTCAATCCCAAGCGAGAGGGATCATTCATGCATCACCAACGCTAATGCAGGAAAGGAGCAACAAGGTACAACAAGATGTGACAACATTTGCTGCACCACCATTTACGCCGCCCAATTTCGACGAAGGGTGGCCAGAATTACACGGTAGGTAGTATATTTTCTAGTTCGCCCAGCTAATTAGGTTGCAGAGAAGCTATTAAAAATATATTAGAAGTGTTATGTAATTAAATCCAATTACATGATAAAATAAAATCATAATTATGTTAAATATTATGAATACTGCACAGTGAACTCAAATCATTGACTCAAATAAGACTGGAACGCTCACTCTGTCGGAAGTTTGAAGCCAAGATGGCGGACACTGAAGCCTTTCTTGTAGGTATGATCCAGGCCTCCCGCCCGGAAATTTCGTAGGTAAAATGGCGGCAATATTCCTTTGAAATTTCCGCGCCAGAGGCCTAGATCATACCAACAAGAAAGGCTTCATCATCCGCCATCTTGGCTTCACTGAGCGTTCCAGTTCACTGATACTGCATATATAGTTGTCGTGTTCATCTTTGGCTTTGCAGATGTTCATTTTAAATTTGGCAATGTGATTTTATATTTCAGGAGATGCTGTCCAGAATAATGCAATTCGCTCACAACGACCAACGCAGGCATTTTACAAGCCACCAAGAAAAGCAAAGGAATGAAAATTGAATCGTAATTATTGGAAAATATAAAAGCGCATTTTGACATGACCATTACTACCTATATGCAGTTTTGCATGAATAATTGTCGAAATGATTTTGATTTCAAATGAATTTCAATAAAAATACTTCCTTTGGTTTTACAATTGCCATAAAACTACATCGCGATAATAATGGGCTTTGGCACCGGCTGGTTTCTAAAATCACCGATCGTTGTTTTAAGTAAATTAGTCATAAATTGCATATAAATTAATAAATAAATATTTATAAATATTTTCAAGACGACCGACTTATCGAATCGTTCAATAAATAAATTTCTAGAGTATTTCGCTAAAGTGTGGGCAGTACAGTGAACTCTATAGTGACTGGAACGATAACTGACGGTTATCTCATAATAGGGGACATGTTACCATGTTTCTAATAGTAATAAACAACCCGATATGATGAAATCATGTTGTCATTGACGTTTACATTGGTGAAATTGGTAATGTTTTCATCGAATACAATAACGATGTTTCTGGCACCATTTAATAGCCAGGAAGGTCGGGTTTTTACACATCCTTCCTGATTAAACCAAATCGCTATGCAAATTAAGCATTCTGTTTATTGTCAATTCAGTCACGCGTTAAATCTACAGCCATATTGACATACTTCGGTAACACCATGCTGTAGAAAGAAAGTCCGTATAAATCAGCCAGTATATTCAAAACTTCAAGACGATGGCAAGTGGAACTAGTCAGACACAGCCTTACATGGATAAAGTACCAGAATTAAGAAAGAAATTCTTGGATAACCATTATTGTACGTACTATTGATATGTATACAGACTGTACATATGACTCATAGTTATATATTCTAGTATACCGGTAATAGCTGATCCATGCATGAGTGTAAATTGTTGAACTGCCTAAACCAAACATGTATTGAGAAATTTAAACAAGGACCCTTCATGGAATGCCCTATTATCGATCCGGACGAAACGACTTCGTTCGAAACCTAGAAGTAATAGTCATATATATTTTAAAAAGCTATCAAAATAGCCATAGGGCAGCATGGCGTGGGTCTTCGTCGGAATAATTTCTCATGAAATATGGTATAGGCTAGTAGGTCCGTATACCGACTGTTTATAATAGACTTTCTTAAGAAAGAGTTTCGACATAAGGGCCGTTAAGTATGAGTGATGATTAATTTAGGTACGTTCGTCGATGTATTTAGTCTTCTGGTTAGTATATATATATATAAAACTACCGGTATTATTTTAGAATAAAGATCGATATAAAAATATTTATCATTCGCGTCGTCGTATTTTCTGCCGAAATTTACCGCACGGCATTATTCATAGTTTAACAATGAAAACGTGATTGTCAGGGTTCGAAAATCCTATAGCCAGGGCTATATATTTTTAAATTTATATTTTAAAGTGGATTTTCTAATAAGACTTATAAGAGATTGTAACAGATATTATCTGACATGTTTTGCACAAACTCAGTGATGTTAAGACAGCTAATATTTATTATTATTAGTTATTGTTGGAACTTGGAAAGAATTCTAAACAACACGTATAAGGATGATTAAAAAAACGATTGAATACCAAAAAAGAAAATTACACGTTGTGAAAACATGCATATGCACTGTCTTCAAAAAATTGGAAATCAGCCATTTCTGGGCTGCCAACGGTTTTCATTGTGCTCTGTGTTCAGGGCAGGTTTAACCAGTTTAACGTTGTGAAGTATGTAGATGGCGCCATGCATGGAAAAAACAGTTTAATATAAATGTATATGCATATATTTTCAGCTTCGGACAAGAACCATTTTGATGCACGGGATATTTCTCGAGTAAAGACAGATGACTACTTTGTGGTACAGTTTATAAATCCAAAGCAAGGCAATATCGAAAAAGCACACAAATTAATGGTATAATGATTTTTGTTACTTGCAATAATGTGTTGAACCACGTATGGTAATCCTAAGGTTTTTATTTTAAAAACAGTCAAGGTGGTTTCCAAAAATTTTTTTTAAGAAGCCTGCTCCAAGTGTTAGTAACTTGATAAAACACCCGATTATGTCAAAAAACTAAAACAAATTCAATTTCCCGTCTTGCTGATAGCTTTTTCGCCATTCATCGACAGATTTTTGTCACTTGTTCTATTTTTTCGCCTTAAATTACATGTTCTCTCATAAAAGCCGTCGACAAAAAGTCCAGTTTGGCAAAGACAACATTGCCAAGCAACGCAAACATGGAAAAAGTTGGAAGGATGCTAACAAACAACTTTGAGATTATTTGCCGTGCTTGCATGTATACCAAGAAGCACGTATTGTGAAAGCGTGTATACAAAATTACAACAGTCACTGATTGATATTTCTCACCACTTCACTTATTTTTCTATTAGACCGACGCACTAAAGTGGAGGAAGTCATTTGGAATTAATGGTACGATTTTAAATTCGAATTGAGTCGATTAAGGGAAACCATTAAGCTATATTATACTTCAAAGAGCCTGGGAACGAGGCTGATATTATATATATATATATATATATATATATATATATATTATTATATATATTAATTATATATATATATATATATATAATATTTTTAATTATCTCAATGAGATCCCCAGGAAGAAAATTGAAACACGATGTACGCAATACAAACTCAAAACTACTTAGAATTTAGCCTTACATTCCACTGAATCCCCCTCCCCCTCATTAGGGCATTTCAAAAAGCGTTTTTAACAGCAATGTGCTTGTTATATTTTTTGTTATTCATAATGTCTATGATCAAATCCCAGTTTTCGTTAAAGCTGAACTAACCATGCAGAAGCGGTCTACTCAATGTGGGAACTTATGAAGATTGAATTAATATATTGAAATGAAATTTTCGGCATCTCATTTTATAAAATAAATTACTCTAGATTTAACAGAAAAGGACATTCCAGAAGAAATCCTTCGCTCTGGTGTTATGTATGTCCATGGAAAGGACAAAACCGGCGCTCTGACGGGTAAATCATTCTGATAATTCACTTACCTTTCAACTCGGACCATTCCAAGTGCAACGAACGTGGCTAAAATGGTTCAAATCACTCGTGTTAATATATTTGATAATGATAAAACCACTTTAATTTGCATGATAATTAAGCAATTTACAAATTAACTGAGGTTTGTAAACTCATTAAGGTTTATTTATTAAAAGATCGAGGCCTTTTTTTATACATGGAACGCACCGAAACAATTTGGAATCAAACAGTTAACATTATTCGACTAATTCACAGCGATTATAATTTCTTGATAGTATTTCATCGACTTAAACACTACACATACAAAGGAAATAAAGAAATGCAATTAGGGTATCAAAGGATGGCCGCGTTAAGATATGAACAATACGTATGTATTTCCTTGACCTCTGATTCATTCATCCACTATAATTCAATTCCCTTCTATAGTGTTCGTTAAGGTTCAGAAGCGAGCCAAAAAAAGCTACATATGACAACAGACTTCATATGTTTCTCTTTCCTTAAACAGCAACGCGAAAACCCAGGAGGGAAGATAACTAATGTTACTTCATGCGAAGATGTAAAGCTGTTGCAAGTTGTAAGTAGTTCAGTTCATTATATAATACATTGTTATAAAATAGCATGTATATAAAGTGTATTCTGATTGGTCGAAGCCCGTGTTTGGATCAGGCCATCCAAACATGGAAATTTAATTCGCTTTTTGCGATCAAACATGGAAGACTATATCTGAGTATGTTAAAGTAGGTTCATTAAATAAGTGGCTATATATACGCATTGTGTAGTGTTATTTTGTAGTCGATCATGGGCAACTATACCTAGCTACGATACCAAAAGAGTTTCGTTTCATTCAGCCGGTTTAAACTGCGAAATTATATAATGATGTTTGTTTAAATTTTCTAGGATATGGACACTAATAAATTGATGATCAACAGTCTAACAACTTACTATCCAGACATATTAGGTATGCATGAAACACGCACGGTTGAAAGTAGGTTAAACTCGATCAAACTAAAAAGCTAGACTGCATGCTCCTTTTTCAGGAACAATTCTTGCAAATTTTGTGCAATAAATCCTGTGACAAAATAATAATGTATCGTAAAACATTGTGTGGCAAATATCTTTGTTTATACCATGCACCTTCTGTTCTTTTAGAGCATATGTATATCTTGCACTACACCAAGGTTTTTGAGGGTAGGTTTTTAAAATTCAAATCCAGATATAGAAAGCAATATTTTATACGTTAAGTACACTATAAATCAATGCAGGTCATTGTCATTTTTATAGCTCTTTGGAAAATTACCAAGGTTTTACTAGGACCGATTGCAAAGAAATTTGCGTAAGTGTCATATTGCGTAAACTGTGCTGATCTATATGTAGGTAATAACTTATTCAAAAGAACATATTCAAAATTAGTAATCCATCAAACAAGAACGAAAGATTAACGTGGCTTATCAGTATACAACTCTTGGTATACGACATGTAACAGCTAGTATACAAGTATTTAGTCAGCACTTTGCACCTCTGGTGAGGATGGCATTCTAATTTGTTGCCCAACACCATGCAACATCTCTACCAGAGTTTGTTTTCGAATTTCAGTTCGGTGAAAGATTTTACCGCAATGAGCTTTTTATCTCCGTTTTCTCGCCGACATCGTATTTAAGATCTGTAACATTGTCAACGAAGTTAAACTTAATTTTCTATAATGCAACAACCCGGACAAACACAACATAACTTTTATTATCTGTGCATGATTTTATGCTGGAACCACAACAAGGTTGTAAACATCAGTATAAAATACTATAATGCAGATCAAGAGGACAAAAAACATTCATACAGGCAAACTACCCGCTATATAACCACGATCATACATGGTTTAGAGAATAAGTAAATATAAATTTTAAACACCACCTTTTACCACGTAGGCACACGAAACGGCGTGCATTGAAAGAAGTGTGGCGTTCAACAGACACATTGATATTCCTACCAAATAAACCAACCACAAACCACATCGAAATATTTTTTAGATATATATGGTGTTCTACACATCTTTTCGACTATTCAAAGCACCATGTTAAAAGGTCGTAATGTCATTAGGTGGCTAATTAATAAAAAAATGTCTTCATCTTCATTTTCCCGATAGGTTCATATCCAATGAAGAATTAACTACCTACATCGATAAAGAAAATTTGCCTGTAGAATTTGGTGGAGTAAGCAATCAGTTTGGCATTTTTAAGCAACATGAAATTAGCTATGTATAAATTGGATAAATGCATGGAACCATAATACTTTTCATCATTAATATTAACAACCTTTGCTGTATGCAATCCCACACCCCGATGACGATCAACACGGCCAGGGAGAGGCCCCCTTTTTGCTAATGCCCCTTCCCCCTACTCTAAATACTTCGAAAGAGGCCACGTATCAAGGCGGCATTACTATATTCCTCTTACATGTAAACCTCTCTCTCATTTATTTGCCTTCCCTGGCCGGTCTATGTACACTTTTTCCAAAATAATCACAGGCATTTGTGTGCCTCTTGAAATCTAACTCTTTGACTATTTTTTTAGCCTTCATACGTTTATGAATATCATCCGGAAGAATGAAATTTAACGTGAGTTGTGCCCAAAAATCTATATGTACTGCATATAATTTAAACTAAAATTTTCGGATAATGAGAATTGTGTCAAATGTTAAATTAAGTGAAAACAAAACTTAATGTTTATTCTAATTATAGTTTGATTGGATTTCACTTTATTTTTCATTAAAGTGTATTAATTGTTTTTGTATATAGTTGTAACTGCCGTGAACACAAAAAGCAGGCTGGTATAATTTATATGCAGTCTTCTTCAGCAAGTACACTGGATTAAGGGATATGCCGCTGCATGACAACTAAGAGAAAAGATAGATCAATGGATCAAATTACTCGTTTATCGCCGTCCTAATCGAAACCGGGCTTCAAAGATTACTATCCAATTTAATTATATTGGCCGAGTAAGCAAAAACGTAACTACGTACAGGGTGTCTCAAAAAAACGCAACCACTAAATATCCAAGAACATTAATACAGCTCTAAAGTGCAATAGATAAGCACCTCTGGGAATTGAAAATGGCTCTTAATCCTTCATTTAAAATACTAAAAGTCATTTTAGCTGAACTATGCATGGTGCAAACCCGAACAATATTAATATTCTTGCATATATAAGTGGTTGCGTTTGTTTTAGACACCCTGTAGATTCTTGTGGTTTTGTATAACTTTCACGTCACTATGTTTGCAAAGCTATCGTCCCGTTAAATGAATGTATAAGGCCTAGTTCATAACTCATTTTGGTCGCGTCGAATGCATTTCAAACAATAGATAATGAGGCTGAATAAGGTTTACCATCTCATTATATATTGTTTGAATTACATTCGACGCGACCAAAATGCGACGTATGAACTAGGCCTAACAGATTCGTCAGTAAGAGCTTTGTATTAATGAAGTTACTATGATTTACATAATAACCAGACACAGTACTAAAATGCGGTGCCCGCAATGCTTGTCTAGAAATAAAACGTCCGCTCATTTCTAACGACATCACCAACTTACATTCTCCTGTCGGCCGCAGCCTGGTTGGTTGGTACATTAAAGTCAAAATTGCGCCGTTTTAAAATCTTCAGAAATAAAATATTTAGGCTAAAAATACTATCTAAGAATACTATCAAAATGAAGAGAAACGTGAGACGAATAAACTGGCGTAGAGCCGGAAACTAGAAAGGCAACGATACAGAAGTCAAGGATTAAGCGTACTGCATTTTTATATATAATTTGTTTGATAATTTTGAGCGATTTGTCATAAAGTTCGCTTATTGAACTATACTTTAAAACCTTCGAAATAGAATATATTTGGCTGAAAGTACTATAAAATAAATCGCAATGTAAGACCGATCCACTTATTTAAGGACGAAAATTAAAAGAGAAAACCAACAATATGAAAGATATCAAAGACCAAACTTACTATTACTAGTAAAGTATAGCATAGTAATTTTGAGCGATTTGTCAACAATTCAATTTCGTTTGTCTTTCAAACGTCATAAATCGCTGCGAATACTCTTGTTTAATAATATATTTAAGACCTGTACGTATAATTTCTTACGCTGAATCAGGGCGCCTATAAGATAGGGCGGCGAAACGCACGGATGGCGTGTTGAAACATGTGTGATGTGCGGACCCCCCATGAAGATTCGAAAAACTGTTTTCAAAATGGCGGCGGGTTACTTAGATGACGAAGAACTTGAGGTGTTTATAAGTTTGGATGACACTGATCTGGCAACAGATGGCACAAATTCGTCATTTCCAGTTGGAAATACTGTTAATTTCAACGTAAAGGAGTTAATTGCTGTTCTTGAAAGGGTTTCTTCGTGTTTTTTATACTCGTCCCAGTCCGCTGGTTACCAAGACAAGTTTGTAAACATGGTTCCGTTTTATGGTTGTCGTTTTCCAGAGAAAATTGTGAAAAAGGTTCAAAACATTATGCAACCATTTGCACGTGGAATCGATGTTAATGAACAAGGGAGTTATTTTCTAAATTTTCCAGCTTTAGGAGCTACGGCAAGGTTTTCAATTTTTTAATGGAAATTTTGTATATTGAAAATTCGAAAACGTTGTTGCGACGCGGTCTAATGCTCTTGCAAGTAAGTTAGCATTTTCTTGTTTTGTTTTTAGCTTGGCCAGGTCGACATTGCCATGACGAAAGAAAAACATATCATATTTTCAATTCGGAACGTTATCTAAGTATATAATATAATTTAACGGGATTTTGTGTTGATATTTTCCGACCTCGCAGCCGTGAAAACAATTTTGTTGTAGAAAGTTTGAATACGTTCACTTCTACAAATGATTGCAAAAAAGGTTCAAAACGTTGTGTAGTGAAATTTGCTACAAATGTTCGTCAATATTCTGTACACCAAATCTTGAAGTATAATGCTTTTGGGGATTTTCCTCACTGAGAAAAATCAAAATATGTATGATACATCTAAAAACAGACCAAGTAGCCGTGCGTATCCGTAGTTTTAATTTGACAAATTCGGTCAGTTAACTTTTGAAGAAACAATTTTAAGACACAATAGAAAGAGTTATAAATTACACAGGAGAAATCTTATTTTAGATATCGCGTTAATAGTTTCAGAGATTGAGTGGTTTTAATCGAGCTTGTTAAAAACCAAGTAAATATTGTTTCGTTCGAGAATTTTTCGCCGACCGCCCCGTCCCAGTCCTAAAATCGCATCACACATGTTTCAACACGCCATCCGTGCGTTTCGCCGCCCTATCTTATAGACGCCCTGGCTGAATCGAATGGTGGTATTTTTTTCCTTCTTGGGTGCATAAAAGCAGAGATACACGCAATTATCAGAGTTTGAGATTGAAATTGAAAAAAGAACGTTCCTTTAAAAAAGGAATTTGCCAAACGTACAACAAGATTAATAGTAATAATTAGGAAAAAATTCCAAGCATTCCAAGTATGTGCAAGGAATTTTTACTTGGCGATTAAGGATTGTATTAAGGCGAGTATTGACGGATGCGAACAAACAAACTCACAGGCAGAATATAATGCGGTGCCAAACTTGGCGCGGGCACCGCAATTACTCAGTTAAGGATCTGCTGACTATTGTTGTATAGTTAGTCATTCGTTTTATAGGATAGTGGCACTAAAAAGTTAGTAAAAAATAACTATTAATTTTGATGAAAAAAGAGAAATAATTTATTTCTCCTTTAGAGTTCTTTAAGTGCTTGTGAATTAGTCTTCGTCCACTTTGCATAAAACAGGTACTGCAAAGGCTTGCGAAACTAAAAGAATTCAACTTAAACGAATCATTGATCAAAGATATTAAAAAAGATAAGCATGTTCTTGATTAGTCAACTAGGAACATTGGCTATAATCCAGAGACTTGCTTCGTCCGCAAATTACGTCATGTAACTGACAAATTGCCCCAAGCGCGATGAAGGACGTGCTAGTTTTTAATCAATCTTGAGAATATTAAGTTTCCCAACTTACGCCTGCCCTAAAGAAAATATCGATGGATCCTGAAGATATGAGTAGTTTTCATCCAATCTCAAATCTACAGTTTATCTCGAAGACGATTGAACGAGTCGCATCTCCCTAACTTGTTGATTATCTAATGGAAAATAAAATATATCCATATAAGTAGTTTTCATCCAATCTGCGTTCAGAAAGGGATATAGCACTGTAACAGATCTTTTACGTGTTCAAAACGATCTCTTAGAGGCACTTGATTCTGGCCACGAGGCTTTTCTAGTAATGCTTGATTTTTCTGCAGCCTTCGATACAATTGCATGACCATCAAATTCTACTTGGCTGTTTGAAATCTCGTTTTGGAATTTGTGGTACAGCTCTATCCTGGTTTCGGTCATACCTTACATGAGTTACATCTCGACTGAATATGTGAAAGTAAACGGTAAAATTTCGGCATCAACTCCGATACTATACAAGGTGTGCCTCAGGGATCGGTTCTCGGACAGTTGCTTTTCTCTAGAAGGCATTTTCGCTACCCATGATATTGATGCTATGATCTATGCTGATGATACTCAACTTTACATTATCCTAAAGGAACACGATTCTGGCACTGCCATTCAGCGTCTTGAACATTGTCTTCATGATATTCAGGCTTGGTGCCTTTAAAACAAACTGCATGTTTTAAATGAGAGAAAAATCAAAGCTATTTATCTACATTTGGCATATGCTTAATTATATATATACAGCACCTCAGGAAGGCTGGATCAGCGATCTGGAATAGCCTGTCTAATGAATAAAGATTAGAGACATCTGTTGATATTTTTAAAAATAAACTTAAGATTTTTCTTTTAACCAAGCTTACAATTAGTTCTTAGTATTCGTAAATTTTTAAATAGATTGTCTAATATATATCGTATTATTTTCGTATATAAATAAGTAATACCATTGTAATGAGCATTGAGAACTTTTTGTAAATGGGCACTAAAGAATTAGATTATTATCCTACACAAAATGATCGTGTGCATGGCCATAAAAATAATATGTACTTTTTTAATTGATTTCAATTTCCATTTTAAGTATAAAATTAATGGACCTAATGCATCTCCTGAGGTGAATGGAAAATGAATGTAATTATCTAGAACTTTTCCAATTCTTCATACGATATTAAAAACCATATATTCATTTTCATTCTAAAGCAGCTATCTTGTTTCAGTTTGTACGTGTATAAAACGCGCCTCTCGCTTCTCAAACAACGAAACTGAATCAATACTATCTCTTCACCTTTTTCTCTCGAAGCTTGTCAAGTTTATAGGCATCACTATAGCTTAATATTCAATCAGATTTCTACTGGTAAGTATAGAAGAACGTCAACACATGTATGCATGATTACACTTCTGCTATCTACATATTTAGTTCTTTTATTGCTAGGAATATATTAAGCTTTTTACCTTGTTTGCGTGTGACTGAAACGCTTAGAAAATCGGTGATGCTATATATGAGATACATTTAAGCCTATTGAGATTATATAAATCGAATCAGTTCTCTAGGAGAAAAAGAATGGCCCAAGCTGACCCTAGTATTGTTGCCAATCTTCAAGAGGCAATATTAAAGATTTGTAATTACCCAAGAGGATGCCGACGCATATCTGACTTTTTTGGAAAATTCACCATAACGCCGGAACTGAAGGAAGGAAATGAGGTTATCAGAATCCTTGGAGATCTTATCGATCAACATGTCCTCAGCTCTGCCAAGAAATATTTCGATGATGAAGGTCCTTTTCAACTTGATGACATTTTGATATCTGGAAGCGTCAGTGAAGGAACGGTAAAGATAAACCTAATGACACAAATATGTTCGGATACCGATTTTTTTCTTGTTTTGAAGAATATTAAAGTGACAGAGAAAGATCAAAAGGAAGGATGCCTAACAATGAGAGAACATACACCGTTTGTGAATTTGTACCTAAATGAAGCAGATCTCATTCAAAGATGGATTGACTTCGTGGAAATTTCAGAGCAGACACTCCCGGAGGAAAAAAAACGCACGAAGCTTTCCTCCATGAAACTGAAAGAACGTTTTAGAGAAAAGTATGTTGGATACGGGCCGATATTTACACCACTTTCCGAAGATAATGTTGAAGTGGTTGATGAAGGGCCTTCCGTCGCCGTTTCTACCCGTGTACCCGGAGTTAAAGAACCGCGATGGGCGCCGTCCGTGCACTTGCCGGTGGAAGAATTCGACTTTGTGATCGCTATTGCCTGCGAAGGATGGCCGTTGTGTGCCCAAGAGTGGGTAACCAGACCACGATGTTGGCCAGGTAAAAACGTCGTTCAGGAAATCATCCAAGGTGGCTTCCACATTGTTTGCAAAAGTTCTGCAGAAGGGGACTTCCGGCTTTCATATTCCAACGCCGAAACACTTTTGATTCAAAGCCTGAGTGATCTCCAACATAAGGTGTATCGCGCCTTGAAATCTTTTGTTAATCGTTACAAAAATGAATGGAGTCCCAATGTGAAGAAGATAATGTGTTCCTATCACGTCAAAACAATAATGCTCTGGTATTGTGAAAAATGTGATACGAGTGATTGGAGTGAATCTACAATAGTTGAGCATTTATTGTCGCTCATAGATCAGCTGATAAAGGCTTTGAGAGAGAGATCATTGCCGATGTATTTTATGCCAAAACACAACCTTATGGAACGGATTGAGGACGGGACCGCGGTAGCCGAGGAAGTATCAAAAGCACGTTTTAATCTTAATTTGGTTACCGATGCAATATTGTCCGAGGAACCAGATTTTGGCGAATGGTGCAAATTCCTGCTCAAAATCCTGCCACCTGAACTCTACAAACCATTCCAAAACGGCATTGAAAATGGAAATTTTCAATCAAACGATTTCTATGAATGGTTTCAGAAGATGTTTGACGGTGTTGATGAATACTGGATGAACACGGTCGGAAGAATTCCAACGAGAAACAACGAAGAAGGGGAAAAGGCAATGAAAATCTTGCAACAGCCGATTGCATTGTTTGTAGACAAAATGTGTGAAAATTTCAATAATTTTGGCATGAACGAACAGTTGGAATTCCTAGAAGGGAATTGGAATGAAAATCAATGAATTTCACTGGAAGCCAATAAACATTTCAGTACGAAATTACAGGACTGTATTAGGGATAATTATTAGGGATTAGGGATTAATTCAATATAAATAGTCAGGTTGAAATTAGGTCTAACTGGGTTATTAGAATAGATTTCAGGTTAATATTTAAATTAGTGTTAATGTGATAGAATAAGTTGAATGTTGAAGATTGTCTGGGATGACGTAAGTAGAAACATATGATTTGTAAGAGCAGGGCCGTCACTAGAATCTTAATCGCAAGGGGGGGGTATATTATCCGTATGTTCATGTTCGTACAACCCGGTAGCAACAATAGCTGACAAAAGAAATCAGTCGGGCATAAGACTAATATATGAATATCCCCCCCCCCAAAAAAAATAAGGCTTGTAGCGATGGCCCTGTGTAGGAATGAAAGTTGAAAGTTGGGGAAAATGCTAGTTCAGTTCTCAAGCCGGAATTGAACCTGGTGTAGGAAACTGGGATTAATCGTGTATTAATTAAATTCCAAATAATTGAGGCAAACCTCTTTTTTTAATTGGGTTGGTAATAAATAAAATACAATTTCCTATGTATCTTGGAGAATACAGTTTTCAATATTCCGTCAATAATGACATTGACATAAATTACATTTGACATTGTTTTTGAGATTTTACACGCGGCACAATAAAGCCGGCGCACACCAGAGCTACGTGCTTAGCAAAAAGTCATTCGTGGCCATTAGCGTAAGCCAGAAATTATCAAACATGTTAGATATTGCCGTAAGTGGCACGAATGACCAAAGTCGCCGGAAAAGTCACCCGCACACGAAAGCAACTGGCTTACGCCAATGGCCACGAGTGACTTTTTGCTAAGCACATAGCTCTAGTATGTGCCGGCGTTAAGAGCTATGCCTATGGAAGTCATGTTGGATTAAACTGTTAATTACCAGATTTATTGATGAACACCTTCGTCCATCCTAGTTACCCGATTGGATGATTAGGTGTTCGCTCTGTCGATCTCGGGAGGGGTATTGTTAGGGAACGAATACCGGTTACTTGAAGCCATTTTTAGATCCCTACGGCTTTTTAAGCTGAACCCCCTTTTCCTGTGAAAGCTAACCATTGGCGCACACCAATTTTGTTGTTGGAAAAAACACACGAAAGCAGTAAACAAATAAAAAAACAAAGTAAATTAACTAAAATACCACTTTGTAATGAGCTGCTACTATCGACGTCATTGCTCGCTCGTAGATGGGTTATTAATGCCCTCTATTACATGAGTCTTACTATCTCTCTTTTCTTATTAATTTTTTTGGCGTGAGTTGCCGCTAGGCCAACCCTTCGATCACGTGGTATGCCTGCAGTCAACGTCACTAACGATGTCCGGTTAACCTTGGTTGTTGCAAAGCCCCATTAAAATATTATTTGAATTTTTTTTTCATTTTCAACCAAAAAATGATTTTCTGGTAGATTAACCTAATTGAAAAGTTTATTTTGGCTGTTCAAGCATCGAACTGACAAAAAAATCACATGATAAACGTATCGACACAATTGTTTACATTGGAGTGCTCAAACACAAAGGCTTTCATACATGTTACGTTCATGCATATTTAAGTGGTTGCGTTTTTTTTGAGACACCCTGTATAAATAAAGGCTAGTCTTTATGCAACATAATCGTCATAATTTGTCGTTATTCACATGTCATAATCTGTTATATGTAATTTGGTTTGCATATATCGCTAATATCGGATTTCGCATAATACCAATTACCACATGTGAATTACGACGAATTATGACGTGTGAAAGCCAGCCTTAAGTTGTGAACTCAGTAACACCAGCTCCGTTTTTAATTATACAAAAAGTTGCATATAATTATCGAGTTCTGTCTTATTCAGTGGAGCATGTAATAAACTTCAACTTGAAGTGTCGAAGTAAAGTAAGACATACATCAAAAGCGAATTCCACGAGAAGCGTGTGTTTTAAGAGACAGTGTTAAAAATATTTGACCAGGATGGCAAGCGAATCGAGGGCACAGCCTTATATGGATAAAGTACCAGAACTAAGAAAGAAATTTTTGGATAAACATTATTGTGAGTTGGTTGATGCATTGGTTGATGTTTGCTGTACGCATAAACAAAATCTTCTATTGTACATGATTGATTTTGGCACCAAGTGAATGTACATGGCAAATTAAACGTCTTGTTAATTAATTTGGATGCATGAGTACTACATCTAATGTAGCAGTAAACCAAGCAAAGAAATTCAATAGTGCCTTCAAATGGCGTTGTAAACGACCAGTTTGTGTCGGTATAAGATGTTTGCCATACGTTTGCATCGCTATATAGTTCATAATTTGATCACCCTATTCCAACCTATCGCATCGGTCCATGCTATATAGAGTATAGGAAAACCTTTACAGTTGAATTTCATAATTTCACAATTTTATTATATAGGCTTATGGGTATTGTAGTCGTGGGTATAACTGCATTTAAATACGTAATATACGATAATTATGTGAAAGAATTTATTCTGTTGAGTGAATTCAATTTAGCGAATATTTTGGCGATTAGACAGATTCACGATAATACAATGACCAATGACCATGAAACAAACCACTATCACGCAAGCTACAACCAAGGTTTTTCCGAAATGTGCCTTAGTTTATAAAGTTCATTCATATGTCTCTAAAAAGTAATACAAAGTGATAAAAAACAGATTATTGAGACAGCAAACCAAACAATATTACAACATAAATGAAACCCGAATAAAACATAAAAAAAAATATCGCCCATGTTCAAGAGATGCATTTGATTTCAACAGATTTCCATTGCCTGCTATATAAATTAACGATTGAACGTATCAGTGAAACCCGGCAAATAATTAGCTTATTAATTCATAATCATTCAAATTCTAAACTCTTTAAACAACTCATTACTCAATCTAGCTAAAGTTTTAAGCTTTACTCGCAATCTTTTGACCCTAAATTGTGCCATATCCATGACTGTAATATTATTATACTACCGCAGTTTTAATTTTTTATGTGAACTGTTGTATGTTTTGTGGTAACAAGTTATATCCCTCGCCACTCCTTTAAACATTGTGAATTTGGACTGATCACAGGGCCGTAGCTAGATTACATAATTTGTATATTCATATAATTATTTATGTTCACATATCATACAAACGAGCTCATGACGTCACGAGGATCTGGCTTCTGAATTGTAGTTTTTTATACTCAAATCTTTTGGAATAGCGTGAGATAAATTTCATCGCTCCGAGATAAATTTCATCGCATTGGTATCGAGCTGCTGAGTAAAATAACGTTGACCAATATGCTTGTAATGCTCGGATATTTTATTATTCAGCTTCAGAGAAGAACTACTACGATTCCAGAGATATATCACGAGTGAAATCGGATGATTTCTTCGTCGTGCAATTTCTCAACGGGAAGGAAGGAAATATTGACAAAGCATTCAAAATCATGGTAGGTTCATTTTCTTGAGTATACTCAACAAATTTTCCGTGCATATGTAATAAAGTTATTTTAAAAGGCATCTATTCTTTCTTTCCCCCCCCATCCAGGTCGAAGCTATGAAGTGGAGGAAATCGTTTGGTGTTAACGGTACGCGCATTACATTTTACAAACCAATAATGCACAAAAAATAACTTCCTAAATTATATTATTATGTAATGCACCATTTTCTAGTAGAATGGGGTGGTTTAATGTATTGCTTGGATTAATATATTTTTTCTAATAGCCATTATCGCACGTCACGTTTCCTTTGGTTGTTTCAATGTGTTTCTTTGAAACAATTCCTTCTGAAAGACGTCAATGGACCATTCCCCTATTAAACTAAATTTTAAACTAAAAAAATGATTTACTTTATAGGGGAATGGTACATTTTAGCTGCATGATTTACTTTAATAGGGGAATGGTACATTGTAGCTGCAAAGACAACAGCATGATCATGATGTACATAGATACGTTATATCAATACTGAATTAAGCCAGTTTTGGCATTTTCACCGAATATCCAAAACCTGTGCAAAGCAAAGTTTTCTTTCATTCATTCATTCATTCAGAACCAATGTCGTATGCACATTGGAAAAAAGATGAATATACATAACACGACTGCCTATAAAATATACAAGAAAAGAGTATACCTCACACTCCTGACAAATGTCTTAGAAAAGTCCAGAAGTTTCCTCACTAAATAGATTCAATTGTACCGAAGCAAAGCGAAAGTTGAAATTTTAAACTGATCTGAGGGTGATTTACTACCATACTCGGCATACTGTATTTTGAGCGTTGGCTCGATTTCTTTTATTCTTGCATGAAAGCTCACTGAAAGAAAACCAAGAGATAAACAAATGTTTTAGTTTATTATGTATTGATTTATTCTATGTAATATATTTATTTATTCTATGTAATGTACCTCTCTATAGACCTGAGCGAAAAGGATATCCCCGAGGAAGTAATGCGTGCTGAAGTTTCCTATTTTTATGGAAGAGACAAAAAAGGAGCACTCTTAGGTATACGTCCTAAAAATACGGAAAAGAAACAATGGCCATATACGCATGAACGATTGCATGGAAGCTGGGACTGTTATCTTTGGTGAATTCAGCAGTTTTACTAGAAACCAATGGGATTTTACTCATGTGTTTCTCCGTCCGGCAAAAGTTAAATAACTTAGCTATACCATGCGATACTATTTTGTTGCAAAACATTAAGTTTTTAATGGCTAATTTTTCTCTAATTTTGAGTTTGTTTGTGCTCATGCAACAAGACAGCAACATACACGAAACTGCGGCTTTAAACATTTTTTAAAAGCGTAGAAAAGATAGGAGCGCAATGGCTCCAAAAATGCATGGTGGAGAAATCTATTTTCATGCATCGTGGATTGCCATGTGAAAGCATTGTTATGGAAAACTGGGTGGGCAAAATTCTACTTAAACTCAATTGCATGCACTTGAGATGCTCTGACATCACCTATCAATCTCCTTTTCAGGACATGCCCGACTGCGTAACTACAATTTCAAGGGAAACAAAGCTTTAATAGAAGGCTACCGGAAGTTGACCATTTTCAGATTGGAAAAAGTTGTAAGTAGAATGCCCACATTTTAGTGAGGAATCATAGATTAACAATAGTATATATAACACGGTTAATGTTATGCAAGTGTACTTTGGTCATATTTCCCCAATCCCCAATTTGTGCATATAATAAAAAAAAATTAATTGAATCATTTCAATAACGATATAAGTATGAATAATGAAACGATGGCCGTAATATTTCTTATATTTTAGGACCCCCCAAAACAGCATAGGGGATGAAAAAAGATTTAAGTTAGAGATTGTTCATAATCAGTATAAATTAAACTTATATAATGCCCGATTTAAATTTCCAAAGAATTGTATTTTAACCAGTGGAATTTTTTTCAAAATTCATAATGTAGAAATAGTGTGCATGCTAGTTGAAAATATGTAGTGCACGCGTGTCATCTGCTAGCATGGAAGTTTAAAATTTCCACACTAATTGTCATTTCCGTGTGATGATACAGTAGGGGGAAATATGGGGAAAATTTCGCGTGATCGTGTTAACGAATTGCAAAAGCTACGTGGCCGTACAACTGTTTAGTTTTTTTCCCATTTGTACATTTGCATTCAATAGCAACGTGAACATCCTGGTTCGAGAATATCATTTGTATCTGATCTACAAGATCACAGTGTATCACAAGTGGTAAGAAAGTATCCTGCTTTTAATCTCTAAATATTCTATATACGGTTGCGTGTTACGTATTGTTATATCCATTGTATTTAATATATATATATATAATTATATATATATATATATATATAAAACCGTATTCGTGTTTCCTTCAGGACATGGAATCCAATAAGTTCAACACGAATGTTTTAACAGTTTATTATCCGGATATTCTAGGTAAACTGATTTCGTAATACGTGCAAGGTCTTATATGACTTTTGTCAGCAATGTGCAGTATATACATATTATTGTTGTTCTTTTTATTTCATTTCAGAAAGTTCGTTTATTTTGAACTACAGCAAGATCTTTGAATGTATGTTAATCGTATATTATACATTTGGTTCCACCGATTTCGTTAATATATTGGTATAGTCTTTTAACTGCTTCTAATTCGTTTATATTTCATTGGTAAGGTGCAGGTATAATGTGCGTTTCTTAAGGTGCCGGCTCAATAAGAATTAAGATATTATGGAGACGTTTATTCCTCCCTCTAAAATCTTTGACGCTGTAGATTTGGCCGCATTTTAGTTCCTTGCACAGCCCTGGTGTTAATATCGATCATGAAAAAGTTTACTTCTTGCGTTGCACGGTTTCTGAACAAATTACACATTAAGGTGAATTTTATGAAAAATAGATCATTCTTCTGATCTTACTGGGACACAGACTCCTAACTCTCCGTTGGTATAAACTGTGGTGAATAATGCTTATCAGTGCTAAATTGTTAGCACTAAGGCTGTGCAAGGAACAAGAATGAAGGGCAATTGTACACTGTTAGGAAGTCTACAAAATTCAGCAACTTGGAAAAGAGCTACGATAAGGGTCATCGCATGGCTAATATATAAGTGTAGCTATATCAAACGATATTTGAGTTTCCTTTTACGTAATTTATAGCTCTGTGGAAGGTCACAAAGGCTTTGCTGGGACCAATATCCAAAAAGTATATGTAAGTATATTTTGCAGCTGTAAGTCACAAAGCAAATTAGTTTTATGTAAGTCCCAAAGAAATTTGACCATTCAGTAAAGTGAAACAGAACGTTATTTCTTTTTTTAGATTCACGACAGTCGATGAGCTTACCCAATACATTGACAAGGATCAGCTTCCTGTAGAATTTGGTGGGGTAAGTATTGTTTAAACTAAATTAAACCTTAGTATTCTTAAATTGGGGATTTTCTAAATTGACCGTGATCTTCAAATCTGCATTTTCTTTGCTTTTCAAGCATTTTTACAACGCTTGAAAAAATCACTGTCCGGTGGACAGCGCTATCCAGCTTTCATACTACAGGCCCCTGGGGCCGGTTGTATCAAGCCCGTTTATCTTAAACGGTGGATAAGTCGAAATTAAATAACACTCTTACATCTCTCTTGAATGAGTCAACTTGGATATTATGCACTGAATATGTAGTTGTAAACAGTATCTTTGTATTATGGTTGAAAACATTTAGTTTACTTGTTGAATAAAGCGGCAGGCTTGCTTTCTATTTTGAACTTAACCACCGTTTAAGCTAAACGGGCTTGATACAACCGGCCCCTGGTGTATAGCGCTTATTTCATTCTCACTACCCACTCACGATTTTGACTCCCAAAGGGAATAAGATTTAAGTTTTAGATGAATTGATGATGTACCGTAGAAGCAAATTCAATTAAATTACAGGACGCATATATGTAATAATGTGCGCGTGGCAAATTTACATATGAAGAGACATCAGTTTTGTCTCACCCTGTAGATTATTTTACTTTATTTGGACATATTTTTAATTGCCTTTTTTATATATTTTATAGCCATCATATGTATACAAGTATACTCCTGGAGAAGATAAGATGTACGCAATTTGAATCTTTTATTAAGTTGTTCTGCCTTCTTTTGCTATTATAGTTGTTGTTGTGATATCTTGTACTGTTTAATTTCCTTTGGACCTCATTTATACCAAGCATGGTCAAAATATATTTCATCAAAATGCCCGCATAGACGACCCAGCAAATATTGTGTGCCACCAAACTGACCGAAGGTCATGCATAAACATGCAACTAGTGCTGTATAGCTTCCAAAGTAAATTTCCTTGTTTTTCGTTTCTAGTAATGCAAACAGCAACAATCCAGGCGAAACTGGCTCTGCCTAGAGATTACTTCATTTTTGTGTTTTTGTTCACCTGTGTAAACTACCAGAATGTTGCCCATTAATTTCTACTACTATTTAAAGAGATTTATCACATTTTCACTTTGTTGCACCTTTCGCGTAGGTTATTATCTTGAGAATTTTATTGTTCCTGAAAAATGAATATGACTGAATAGAAACTCACCATTCTTTTAAGTTTGTCATACATCGACGTACAGTATGCATGAGCAGCATGCATGCAAGTATAATAATGAAGGAAGAAAATTCAAATGTGTTAAACAGAACATGTTCAGTTTCACACGCACTCAGTGTTTGTTCCCATTGTTTTTACTCGTTGTTTGGTATGTCATAAAATATTAATAAGAGGCAATGTTGATTCGAAGAACTGTTCTAAATAGCCTAATTCATGAATGATAACTTTTTAAGTTACATGTATGCAATGGAAATAGCAGTATTCAATTGATAAAGAGACTTGGAACAAAATTGTTGTGGGATTGTGCCTACCAAAAGGCGGGAATTTTCGAGGGTGGTTCTGGAATTTGTGTTAATCAAATTGTCTTTACATAATGATTTTTCACAGACAATCGTCAAAATGTATAATTTAAGCATCAAAGATAATGCAAAAAGTTTTGAATGGTTTAACACATCAGAACCTTTAATTAGATATCATATTGGCCCCTTCCGACCCCAAGGCCAATAGGTTACCGATAACTTACCTACAAAATTTAAACGTAGGAGGTCGAACTGTTTTTGTGCCGATGCATATAAAATTGTAATGACAGATTATTTCCTAAGACGTAAAAAAGAAGAATGCAAATAATTTATTATGCGGCGTAAATTTTGGCGGTATGTAGCCGGAAAACGCATAGGGTTATTAAATAAATAAGTGCCGGCATGAGGCAGCAATGCCCATGCATATTTAAAGTGCATGGCCATAATTCAAATATAGGCCTTTGACCTGGATCTAAAGTAATGGCAGGCAAGCCGTCTCAGCGTGTTTTTTGGCCAGAAAAGATGTCAGAGTCCACGTCATTAGCCGTCAAGACATTGGCAGGGTTTACCCAAGAAATCTATAATAATTAAAAAGTATTACTTAATATTCATGTATAATTGCTTCAGTCGCTTTCTGTTCGAACACAAAAGATCCAGTACTCATAAATAATTTGTAAATTATAATAATAATCAATACACCCTGTATTGTAAACACATGCAACTTTTCACAATCAAGACCCGCCAAGAATGATGGTGAACAAAAAACAATTTTTGGTACGTAAAAAATATGCGATCATTGTCCTGAAGGCGAGAAGCCGACTGTTACAGCGTTCATATATTGGCAAAAAATGTAACATGTGACTGGTCGACTCTAGCAACCCTCTGTCCTGTCATTATATTCTATGACAAAGCGGGTAATTATATGCGTGCACTCTTCCGAACAAAACTGCTTATGAAATATACTTCAGTACTCATTCCTAGTTATACCGACCGAACATACAGTGACCGTACGATACATATATATAAAAAGAAAAGCTTTACTTTCAGCGATGGCAAGCGAAGCATCTGAATCAAGACCTTACATGGATAAAGTGCCAGAATTAAAGAGGAAATTCCTTGAGAAACACTATGGTAGGTCTGCGTATGTCATTGCATGCATGGTAGATTTGGAACGACGGAGCTGAATTGTTGATTCGGCATGATTTTTACATGCAGAAAACCGTCGCATACTTTTATTAGTCAGGTAACGGTTGAGCATTGCTATTCAGTCTTGTTAGCTCGAAATACCTCTTTTATTATTGTTGCATCGAACACTAAAACATGCATATATACGATAGACAAATATTACTCTTAAACATTTTTGAAGAGGAGGATGTATGCCTGCATTGTTTATTGGCGAGTAGCGCCCGAGGACGAGATTGATTGTCAATGGTTTTCGTTATCTGAAAATCGCTTACGTAGTTTTCTGTGCAACAATGCTGTAGTTTGTAGAAGTAACTCTTTGTTGTACACATGCAGGCGCTATGCACTAAATGCGATTGCAAATTACAATGCACACAAGACTAGCCTAATAGAACAAAACTAAGGTAACAAGACGCTTGTTAAGCATTTACTCGAGCTAAAGGAGTGTTTTTGTTTGGGCTCTTAACGGAGAAAGTTTATAACGGAGAAGATCGGCAGGCACTGCAAAAACATCGCAGGTTAACTTAAAACAAGGGTTATCTTTAAGTAAGGGATTGGGAGTCTGTGAATCGTAGATTGCCCATGTACCCATTTTAGCAACATAATAATTTTATATTATTAAATTTTGAAATATATTAACTAGATCGAGTACACAGAATACGCGTGCCTTGTCATATAGCCTTGATCAGTACACAGAATATGCGTGCAGTGTCATTTAGCTTCGATCAAGACACAGAATATGCGTGCCGTGTCGTTAGCTTCAATCGAGTATGCTTATAAATATAGAAAGCGTATATCAGGTATATGCACAAATACTTGGGTACGCATAATAAAACGTACTATTATTAAATATTACAGCTTTTGCCAGAAAACATCCTCACCCACCCCAGCCTCGTACCCAGGCGCTTTAGTGGAAAAACATATAACGTTGCACTCATATAAAGTTCAGCTTAGAAAAATCGAGCGCGCGGGGGTGCTTGGGTAAACAAAACCACCCCAAACATCTCTGCGTGCTCGCTTTTTTTTCAACTGACCAGCCTGACCTTTATACAGGACTGAATGCACCGTCGTATATTTTACTACTAAAGCGCCTGGGCACGAGGCTGTCGAATGAGCCGCTGAAGTAAGCACGAAGAAACAGGAAGTTGAATGAGCCGCTGAACACCAATATACAGGGTGTCCCAAAAAAAACGAAAACTATTGAAATCACTCATTGTTAAAATGTGAATGCCGTGCTCACGAATTTTAGCCCGTGGGGATCTAATGCAACTTATTAGGGCCTGTTTACATGGAGCCGAGTTACCCGGGTAACCGAGTTACTCGCCTTGCCGGGACAAAACGGTACTGTGTTTATATGGAACCGAGTAACTCGGTATTTGTTACGGTATACATTGTAATTACATGACATACTGATTATGTAGGACTCGAAATTTCAAAAAGTTTTTTACAATGGTGGTAAATGAAACGTAAACGCGCATGCGTGTTTGGCGAATATTCTACTCGCCTAGCCGAATTTCCCGTTGCAAAGTGTTTACATGGTATAACCGAGTAACTCGCCTTGCCGAGAACCCGGCACAGTTTGCCGAGAACTCGGCACGCCGAGTTACTCGGATGTGCCATATAAACAGTCAACCGAGATCTCCATACAATATATAGAACAGGCGAGAACTCGGTGCTGCCGAGTAACTCGGTTAGCCGGGTATCTCGGCTCCATGTAAACAGGCCCTAAAATGCTAAATGCTTTGCGTTGCTAAAGAAAGGGGACATGTCGAAGGTCATGGTGATTGAGATGCACATTTAAATATTGTAATCCATATTTGTAAATTGTAAATATTGTTAGTAGATGCATCATATACATGCATAAAAATGCTTCTGGTAAACATTTACGCACCTGTGGGTCCCAACAGAGTGCTTAGGCATTCAAACTCTAACAATTACATTGTTATGGGTGATTTCAAAGGTTTTCGGTTTTTTTGGGACACCCTGTATGTCACAAATATGTCACATGTGATACGATTCATTTCGATTGGCCAAAATAAAGATTGGCCGCGTGGGAGAGTACGACTCGCTTTAGCTCTAGTAATTAGCTCGAATAATAAAAGCTATACAGGGTGTATCAAAAAAAAGGAGACCTTTAGAAATCAAGCTATTGTTAAAATTTGAATGCCTTTTTATTTGCATTTTCACATATGCTGAACCGTAGTGCGTGAAATATTAGGGACCTTAAGCATGTAGGACGGGAACACGACGACGGCAGCTATCAATGTACAATGCTTCATTGAAAAGAAATGAATTATTAAATACCTATGGGAGTTTTAGACGTGGTCTACGTTCTGTTTACAACGGCAAAACGTCGTTTATTACGTCCTATGTAGAACGTCTGCATTTCAGGACCCAGTGAGCGCTATCTCGAATTAGCTCTATAGAATTGTCCCTAAACATAAACACAATGTTTTCAACGTCTTTTATCTCATTAAACTGGTACTGTTAATAATATACAACAACGCTTTATCATAACATTAATTTAAAGGAGTATTCCAACCACGTCGTCGTCATGTTGCCGTCCTACATGCTTAAGGTCCCTATTGATGGCGTGCATGCATACATTAGAAAAAGGAGACCTTTAAAAAATAAATTGACGTTTGTACACAAGATTGTCTGCTCCTGGGAATTTGAAACTAACTTTAATAGCATAAAGAAAAATAACGACCCAAAAATATTCAAATGACTAAGGACAAATGACTAAGCACAAAAGCGATAACAGTATGCATGGTAGATTGTTTTAACTGTTCCTTGAAACATGAACAAATATTTGGCATTAATTTTTAACACTGCGTGCGAGTATTAGGGCTGTTCACATGAGTTAGAATTGACTTTGAATCCGGAATGGCTCAGCATTCATTTTACAAACCCTGGCTATTAAAATGTTTACATGAGTCAGGAATGAATTACAACTTGATCTGACACAGATTCACTTGGCATTTCGATCCGGATTGAAAATTACTGATAAATTGAACATCAAGAGAACTGAATGTCATGGACCATGTCCTTCAACGTGGCCTCCATTTCTCTCAACACAAACTATCGTACGCTGGTGCATATCGCGAACTGCTTTTCTGATGACGGCAGGCTGCCCTTGTAATGCATTAGACTGTTCAATCATTACACTCGTTGCTTCATTCGAGTATTTTCGCACGATTTTAAAAATTGTACTTTTTACTGGTGGATTGCGATCACGAAACCCTTTCTCGAAAATCGATTTGCACCTCAGCTATACTGCGAGTCTGGGTGTAAGTTAAGACTACAAAAACTCTTTGCACCTCAGCTATACTGCGAGTCTGGGTGTAAGTTAAGACTACAAAAACTCCGAAGTCAGTTGAACCATTTTTGTACTGGTAGTGTGCTTAGTCATTTGAATATTTTTGGGTCGTTATTTTTCCTTATGCTATTAAAGTTATTTTCAAATTCCCAGGAGCAGACAATGTAGTGTACAGACGTCAATTCATTTTCTAAAGGTCTCCTTTTTCTAATGTATGCATCAATATTTCACGCACTACGGTTCAGCATAATGTGCAAATGCAATTGACCATAACAAAAAAGATGGCCGATGTACATTTTACCAGAATGCATTGCGGTCGAAAATCGCTTAAAAAAGCGAACTGACGTCTTTTAAAGGACAGGCATAAAACAGGAGGTTATTTTCTTCGCTGTGTTAAAATTTCACGTCACTAAGTGTTTTTCTTGCCATCTTTTTTCAGTCAATCATTCTTAATTTCCGCAATGCATTCTGGTAAAATGTACATGCCGCCATCTTTTTCGTTACGGTCAATTGAAAAAGCATTCAAATTTTAACAATAGCTTGATTTCTAAAGGTCTCCTATTTTTTGATACACCCTGTATCATATGTTTCTATGCTATTTCGCTGCTTAGGTAAAGACATGAAATGTATGATACAAGCTTAATTTTTCCAAATATTTGAAAACATCTACATCGTTTGGCGCAATATAAAATAATGACAGTGCTGAGAGGCAGGCAATATTTTAGACTACTAAAATGGCTCATACTTCTATCTCAGCTTCAGCAAGGTCTAATTCTCGATGCCTACATCTATATTTTAGCTTCCGAAAAGAACTACTACGACTCACGTGATATAAGTAGAGTGAAGTCAGATGAACTTTTCGTACAACAGTACTTGGTGGGACGGGACGGCAATGTTGACAAGGCGTTCAAATTAATGGTAAGTTTTTAATTACTAAAAGGCCCCAGTTACACGATACCGGATTAGCTTTCGTATTGGATTATTTTGATTCGATATACAAATGGCATCGGATTTGTCTTGATTCACCATATCGGATTGATTCAAAATACAAACAATGTGGCGGACAACGAAGGGCAAGCAAAAAGTAAAAAAAAATATCCTCGTGCAGGGACAGACAGTGAAATATAACTTATTTTATTTTTCCCGCCAAACATATTAAATACCGGATTAGAGCGATTACACGGAAACAGAAATGTACCAGATCATTTTTCATCTCACCTCCAGAGCGATTTTCCCGGGTTTACGAAAATCACGCCTGGGCGGCACGAAGGTGCCTCGGTTGTATCTGACTCTGAGCTAAAAACTGAGGTGATATGATGTCAAATTTTAACCGGGTGACAACAATTATGTTTACAAACTGTGCGGTCATGATTTGAAGCTGAGCTAATTTTTATGACACCGGTGAAAATCGTATTCAAAATAGACTATAAAATATGCAATTTAGCAAAAACAACGGAAAGGAAAATACGAAGTTTTCAAGAAAATTATCATCCGGTTTGCGCTCTTCATATAGGGATAGCAACAGCAACGAGGCAGGAATTGGTGAAGTAAATTAAAGGCTACGTGAATTTGGTCATTGCAAGGTGACTGTTGTGACTGATCTATGATATTAGCTAAGATCGTTTTCATTTTATTTTGAATGTACTCTTTAACGTCTGCGTATAATACAATGTACTCTTTAAGTTTACCGTCTGCCTATATTATGCTGTTGTCAAAAAGACTGTACAACGTCTAAGCTGAATAATAAATGCCGACTTGTATACTTGTTTTGATGATCTCAAACGACTATGTAAATTTGACCTTGCACAGACTGCTCCAAGCTTATTACAACTTATTTTCAGCCATCCAGGTACTTTAAATCTCGGTTCACACTTCACAATGGTCGCAAAATCGAATCCAAGATGGGGGTGATATATTATCCATTACTATATATCATCAATATTCAATCACATGCATTTACATTTCAGCAACAAAGTGGAGGTCTGAAAGACTAAGGGCCCACCCAAAACCTTCCGTTCCGCCGACCCCCGGGTTTGACTTCAGTTCACAAGTCCACTACATCATACGTATATAAAGATAATATTGTCACGCGTCATTTATGTATAATAAAAAGAAGCACGGCCAAATAGGGACCCAACATAAAACCTTGAGGCACTCCATGTATAATCGTATAAGGAGAACATATATATCTCACCATCCGCTGTATGCTGTTGTTCCCTGCTATTTAGATAAGAATATACAATTCTTAATGCATCATCGGAAATAACATAATTGTTGTTCATTTTAAAGCAATATTTCATAGCTGTATGACTGCATGATGCAGACTGTTCATGAAGAACATCTTGTAACCATAATTCCATCTGATAATTCGAACTTTCTCCAATTTTTAATACCTTGTCCCAAACTTGTCACAACAACTTGGGGAAAGCATTGCGAACACACCTGGACCTGGTTTATCCATGTTTGGCAACTTCCGGTGCATCATATTCCACTGACGTCAAGTATAGATCAATCATAACACTATATACGAACTCATTCGTACTGAAGCTCCTTAACGTGCCAATTTTTATTATTCATATTGGAGAAACAAGCCTTATTTTAAGCAATGGCTAGCGGAGCAACTGGATCAAGACCTTACATGGAACTAGTAGCGGAATTACGGAGAAAATTTCTTGAAAAACACTACGGTAGGTCTGATAATCGATAATCTAACCATGCATGCATGCATTAATATTGTAAACTAACCGCAAGTTGTCTATATTCTTGTAAATTTTACTTATAAAACCACCGCCTATATACTTTGGCCAGCTAACCACGCTAGCGCTTCGATTGTTATTTTGACCACTCCAATAGTAGTGTAGTTAATAAACTCTAATTAGCTCAAACATGTAGTGTAAATTTGATCATCGTCGTATGTCAAAATATGGTATATCAAACAAGCGCATAACTATACAAGTAGGGAGCAGCCAACGTTGTTAGGAATAACAATTTTACATTGTCTGATGCAGAACAGGGATTAACTGGAAAGCAAGGTGCTGTAAAATCCCGTTCACATTCATGGCATGCACTGTTTATTGTACAATTATGTTACTGTTTGCTGTTGTTTTGTAGGCTCGTCCGCATTTACTGCCTGCATGACTGTACCATGCATCTCGCCACTATACATGCAAGCTTTGAGAACATTTTGAGAACGCTGTGGACCAGTACAGACATGGTTTTAAAATACATAAAAGGCACAACAGTACAGTTTGGTGATTCACCGTTGAATTTACTTCCGGTTATAGAGTAAAATATATAAACAAAAATTACAGCAGGAGATCTAGAAATCTAATCTATACGCTTTCGCTTTTCAAAAAGCAGACCATAACTATTTAGTTTGACCATGCAATTGCACTATAGAGTCGAGGTAATGGCATTGCATGCAGGCAGGCATGTGTATACAATTGAAGGATCTTAACTTTTATGTTGACATGGCACATGGCATGCTCTATATTTTGACTATTTTAGCTTCTGAACCGAGCTGTTACGATGCACGTGATATAAGTAGGGTGAAATCAGACGACCTTTTCGTGCAACAGTACTTGGTGGGTCAGGATGGCAATGTTGATAAGGCTTTCAAATTAATGGTAAAGTTTTTTAATGCCAAAAATTATGATAGGCATGAGTAATATTTGTTTTGCCCACGATGTTGCTTGAGAGCAACGCGGCTATATAGCATTCTATGGATCTTTCGCAAGCCATTTGTAGAAATACAAACCTTAATTCACCCTTGGCAGTCTCACTGATTTGTGCTCTGCTTTTTTGTTGTATTGGTAGCCTGCATGGCACGGATAAAATTGGGTACGAGCGGATTTTAATTTCAGCATGCATGCTGTTCCATCAACGGTTCCATTTTCCTCCAGGTTGAAGCCCTAGTGTGGAGGCAAGAATTTGGTATTAACGGTAACTAAAGATATTTGTAGATTGCAGGAACAAAAAAAGTTTAAATATATATGAGAGTGCTGCATGTGTGGTATAATGCATAATTAATATACTGTGTTCGAACTATGTATGTCCGTGGTAATTTTTGTTGGTAATTTTCCATTTTTCGATCTTTTTTATAGATATATCTTTGAAAGATGTCCCGGAAGAAATCCTTAAAAGTGGATATCTATACACGTATGGAAAAGACAAAAATGGAGCTAAATTAGGTACCTGTATAATGCTTCATCCCTATAATTATGCAATATATGCATTCAATTATTTGGCTTGTATAGTATTATATCAAAGATAAAATATTTGCATATACTTATATACACGTGGAGCATTAGAAACTTAAATTGAAAGTATAATTACTCTTTTTTCCGCCTGTAGTTTTTATTACCGTAGCAAAATTCATAAAAGGGGATGAAGAGAAATTGCTCGGGTATAAGAAACTGTTAGCGTACACGTTCGAAACGATTGTAAGTACTTCCTAAAACTAGTATATATTTAATGCTTCTCTATAGACTATACGGTAGAGGTTCGGTTTCCGCACATTATTCTTTTATAAAACGTTTATCACATAGTTCATTTTTGCATGCCAATGCTCAATATCACCAAGCTGACTTTCCATTTCATTTTCTTCGATATATTTCCTGCATGCATGGCAAGCGTTTCCATGCCTGCCGGAGTATTGGCTTGATTTAGCTTCGGACGAGGTGTTTCTTGGACACCAAATTAACGAAATAATTGCACTTACACAGTACTCTGGATATAGAATCAATTCGCTTAGCTCGGACATATCGCTATAATGAAAGGCGAGCTCAAGAGATACGTTTTGTAATTATATATAAATACAATATAGAATCATGAAATATATAATAATTGCTTCACGAACAAAGGCAGGAATAGAGGAAATAAATGCAATTACCTAGGCTAAAGAAAACGTATTTTCTTTTTTCGAGCATGCAGCAACGTGAAAAATCCGGACAAAGACTTAGTTTGGTGAACAATTGTAAAGATGCAGGTTTTTCAAATGTGGTAGGTGCGCTAAATATGTAAGTTATTTGTCTCAATTGTGTGACGGCTGTCACACTAGCAAAGTGGGAAATGAATAACTATATGTAGCTGATTAGGGCATGCACCAATTAGGGCAAGGGATTAGGGACTGGCAGCGTTGGGGACGTTTTATTTTAGAGGTATATAACGCCGCTATTTTTTAGGGTTAGAGTTAATGAATCATGAGTGAAAATCAAGACATTATAATTAACAATTTTAATTAACGGATTATTTTTTGTTAAGGACACGGATTTCAGAAACTTTGTTAGCTTCGTGCAATCAACAGCTTATCCTGATTTGTTAGGTGAGTAGGAATATTTAATTTATGTCAGTATGCACTCCTTCCTTCAAGTCAAGACCACGATGAGCAGATTACTGCTTTGGTAGCTAGTATGTATACTACTCGGCATATACCATTTAAAAATGTTTTGTAGAAAATGCATATATGCTGAGTTTACCAATACTTCTGCAAGGTACGGTAATGCTGTTCGTTTATTTTTATTTTCATTATGAGTAATAGTAATACTTGGAGGAGAGGGGGGGGGGTAGCGTGACCATCTTAACCTTGGGTTGCGAATCCCAAGTTTCACCGACGAACACGTGGCACTTGACGCGCACTACAGAAAGCATATAGCCTTTTGGTAGATTATCCACTGACTTGGAGTGTACCGTAAATTATTGATCAGACATTACCGATGCAAAACTTTGAGAATCTGTTTCATCACTTCGCAAACTGAAACGATTTATCGCGGAACAGACGAGTCGGGGAAGACTGGCCAAATTATCGCCAGCAACTAAGAAAGTTGAGCGAAATTCTATACTTTTTACCGACGCTGTGCATGCGCTATTACTGACCGATGTCGCGTTTAACCGACCACCTGGCCAAAACTGCATGGGGGTAGCGCCCCCACATCCCCCCACACGCTATACGCCCTAGAAACAAATAAATAGTAATAAAGTTCTCGGCTTTGCGACTTATTAATAGGCATATGGAAGATATTTCAAATCTTTATTGGATCAAGGCTGAGTAGCAAATATATGTGAGTTTTGTTGTCGAGTTCAAAAAAATGTGCATTTGAATATTATCGGGTGCGAACTCGAAAGAAACAACTATTGCAATCTAAATAGATTTACTACTGCCGAAGAATTATCGCCGCGGTATATAGACAAGGATCAACTGCCGTTGGCATATGGAGGGGTAAGTGAAAGGAATGGGCTGAATTGTGATTTAGTTTTTAACGTAGAAAAGCTGAACAACAGACGAACCCTATAATTATACATTACGTACGTATATACGCACGATATTGCATTGCATGTGTGAAGTATTCACCGCAAAAGCCCAAGCACGATAGTATACATACGGTGTTCCGTGCGAAGGCTGCGATCAGGCATCCTATATATATTTGACTCCTATATATTTGATGTAACTTGGCACACGGAAATGCATGGTCTGCTATTTTCAGTCGGCTAAGATACACCAAAGGGGCCAGTGCAAGACTGATTGTTTACGAGAGTCTGCATGTTGTTAAAGACACAAGCGCTGAATACTTCCGTGCATCGTGGTCGATGTCCGTTCACAGGAAATCTTCTCGCATTCATTGTCTCCTACGTGCTATTACTTCCTATTAATCTTTTTTATTCTATTCTAATCAATTAGCCTTCGTTTGAATACAAGTATCCTTCTGAAGAAAAAACGTAAGTATCTATGTCTCTTCTTTGGATAACCGGGTGGCGCACATTACCGGGGTGCGGAGTCATGACACCCCCAGTTTTGGGAAATCAGTCTTTAAAAATCGGTTCGGAAGTTCGCACCCAAACTTTCAATAGGTCGATATTTGCTCAGGCATGTTTCTCGCAAGGGAATCATGCGGAGGCGAGTCAATTAGGAATTATATAGCAGGTTCATTATAGATATTTGATTCTTATGAACATTTTTAGTATAGCATAGTAACTCGTTTCCCAGTACCTGTTAAGGTTTCCCAGTACATATCAGGCACATTTTGTATATTATTAGAGCTTACGGTAGTTGATTATAAAAAGACGATTTACACTGTCAAATTTTTGTGATCACAGTAGGAATTTTCAGAGTTCTAAAGTATTTGGTAGAAATATTTAAGGGAACTAAAACAGTGGTTACTTTATCTTCATACTCGCTGCAAAACATTTACAGAACTTAGGACTTTTACTAAAATGCAAAATTTATCAACTGTGAACACAGAGACTTTGGGCGCTAGCTTTCCTTTAAGCGGCCATGTTGTCAAACTTGGTCATATCTCAAATTGAAATAGAGTATTTCGTTAAGAACATATAGCAGTGAAACTGCATTTTCCGTGGCTAGGCAGATGTCAATCAGTACGCGATATTTTTTAATAGAGAGCTCTCACATAGAGTGAAACACTCTATTAATCTACTTGTACTGAAATACAACACGACCTGTCCGGCCGTTTTTACTGTATAAAGGAAAGGGTCCTTTGACAGTGTAAGCCTGGTCTAAGACTAAGGCTAAGTCACAGAATATGTAAATGCATATCGTATACTGCACCGTTAAAACGGTACTATTGTAAATATATAACTGCTAATGAAACAGTCTGTATTAACTTCATGTAAATCTAATCCTAGATATTTATAACATAGTTTCAGTCACTTTCATTTGTTGCTGTTAATGAATAGATACATCATGATTCAACATAATTATACTAGTGCTTTATAATATAGGTAGGTTGGAAATTATTCGGAAAAATATTTCATCCGAGCCGGGCCGGTTTCTTGACTTTCTTCGTTTCTGTCACAAAAATAGTACTATAGTTCATGTAATTTTGTACCACTGTAATGCGACTGAGTTCGTCGCCTGAAACTTGGGTAGCAAAATTGAAATCATAGAGCAGATGCTTCCTTCTTTTTTTCGGTGAGATTATTACAATATCAAGTATTAATATTGCATGCATGACTTCAAAAAACCCTTGAACTTATTACCTTTACTCTAGTAACTACCTTTTCTTGGCAAAGAAGACAATATATTTCCAACAGTAGGGTAATCTTAATATTTCTTTACCTTTGGGGCCCGTGGAGGGTTGGAAAAATCGCCTCTTTTGCGTCTAGCGTCGCGTCTGAGACTGAGTGTTTGGGATAATTTTAATGTTGTCGTGCAGTCACGTGCACTTAATTGAATTACTAATTTATTATCTTTATTGCCGTGTTCTGCGGAGACCCAAGTCGCTCTTTCAGTCTTTCTATAGGTTTATTTCACATTATTCCAGTTTTTTTCTGTTTTTATCCTAAAGATTTCGGCATGTTTTATTCGCTCTCGTCTTCTGTAAAGACCTGTAAAGACTCTGACTGGATAAAATTAGTTTCGGAAGCTTCAGTAAGATTCAGTAAGACGTTTTACTTCTCGTTCTGTAAAATGACAGCGTCTTGAATTAGAACAACTTTCATAATGTCATACGGAAAAACTTTCAACGTCAACTTGCAACGCAACAATGTTTCGAAATCGTTTCGGCCGAACAAGTTGAAAGTTTATGGCCTGTTTTTAATCCACGCAACATTGTTCAAATTTTTGCTTATTGTTGCGTTTAGAGTTGATGTTGAAAATTTTTACGTACAACATCGCTCTAAATCAATGGTGTATAAAATCCTTTCTGTGACTCCGATGCTAGAATGTTGGAGACTTGAAGCTAGTTACCGAAACTCTAGATAGTCGAGAGAATCGGAGGGATCCGAGTTCTGAAGTCGAATGAATATTTATGATGCATGACGTCACCCACCCCAGCCATCATCTGTAATCATCCAATATGGCGGAGCATAAAAATAAGAATCGGCAATCAAGCGAAGTATTGTGCCCCAAAGAAGATATTTAACGCGGTAATATGCAGCCACCACCGCAGAGGAAGGTATATTCTATTCAGACTTGAAAGATGGGGCTACATTCTTTCGCGTCGCTCACAGAAAAGTCTTTATTTGTTCCACAGGGTAAATTGGTTCAACTTCTACGTAATGTACAAACAGAACAATTCTCAAAACTGCAGCAGCGCTACCAATTGCAGATCGATTTGCTTGAAGATGTGAGGTGTGTGTGAAGTGTTCACCGTACTTTATGGTTGCGTAAACTCACCGATATATCGGTTTCCATTTAATTAAGGTCGTATATGAAACAAAAGTGTAGCATCGAACGTGATTATGCGCAGGTGAGCTTTTTAAAATAGTGATTTTGTAAAACGTGGCTCCCTACAAAACTCAAGTGATTATGTCGCGTGATTATTTTTTAATTGGGGCAATATACAACGGCTGATATTCTAGCAATAATGCAATTGTCTATAGTACGCTTGGGTCTCGCAACTTGTGACACACGTATGTGCATTCTTTGTATAATAAATTTGCGACAGAATCCCGTCATGTTTATGTTTTGAAAATTTTAATTCGGCTTTGCCTAACTCCTTTGACTTTGTGGTTCTTGTACCTGTTATCATAAACTTTTCCATTATAGTGGCCGATTGCTTCAATAAAGCAACTTTTTTGTACATGTCGAATAAAATAAGAACGCCCCGATGGAAGTGATATTTTATATAATATGATAATTTAGCATTGTATAACCATGTTTGAACAAAGGGATCGAGTGATAGGACAAAATAATTTTGTAAAGTCGAGACAAATGAGTTTGTGGTGATAGTCTATCATTAACAGTGTTAGAGTGTTTTGATTTGTGGCATATGTTTTGAGGGGTTAGTGGCGTTTTATTAGGAGTATTTATGATTTATATGTCAACAGTGCTCAGTGGCATTGTTGACATAGTACTAAATAGTTTGAAGCAAAGCAGATACAAGCGTAAAATCCCTCCCCTAACAGTAGGTTCATGATTGTGTACTGCTGTCACTTGTTTGTGAGACACAGTTTCATGAAATTTGCAATCTGAGATATAATGTCTGAAGTCTAATGTTTGAAGTTTTAATAATATATGCATGTACAACAATATCATAAAGTTGTGTTAAAGTATTTGTTAAAGTATTTGTTAGTTCTGTTAAAGTATTTGCCTTAATTTAAAATACTTGCAGTGTCAGTCAATCCTGTGCTCCATAACTCTGAAATGTTTCCTTTACTTTATTTACTCATCATATTTTTACATGTTTTATATTTTTTACCAAGCTATGCTGAATTTAATGAAAATTCACAATAGAGTTTAACAAGGTTGAAAAAGTGTTTATTTATTCAATAAATAGTCAAAGGTCAAAGCTGTACACTATAATACATAAAGGAGATCTGGCATTGGGACGGTTATAAATGATTGTTAATCACCTCTTGTAGTTCATTCATTGCCAAATTAATGTATCCAAAATGAAACACTGAAGAAATTATGCAAACATAATATCAACAAAGTCAACATAAACTAGCAGACAAAATCACTAGATATTAGACAGACAATATTAATGCTTCTGAAATGCTTAATACAGTTGGTAGCTCGTAACCAATGCCAAGAAGAGGGTTAGCCATATAAAACAGTGCATTACAATGTGCAGTGATTCTCCCTACTTTGAACTTTGTTCAATGTCTGTCTGAACAATTTCCTTTTCAAACAGCAAGCTATTACTGCCTTTCTGTCAGCTAATTAGATGGACCACATTTTTTTATTTAAAAGTACTCCCACTACTACATCTGTCTTGAATTGAGAAAGAAATCACAGCCAGCACCATGCATGACTTAGCCTAAGCACCCCACTCAATTTACTGTCCCATTTAATTAGGATTTCGAAGGTATGTGAACTTAACAACAAATCTACAAGAGCGCATTAGTTAAAATTAAGAAGGCTTGATGTGAACACTGTTGAATGATTAACTATGGCATACGATTGTGGTCATTTTTTGTATTACCAAAGCAACAGCAAGAGTATAATATAGGGATTATTTCTTTTTTTTAGGCCCTACAAAAGCTTAATGCTCAGTACACACAAAAAAGGGACTATTTTGTTGAAGATGAGTCATGTGAAAGCCTCAGGTAAGTTTGTTATCTGTCCTAATCAAGGAAAGTAGTAGATCCATTTGTTTTTTTTCCCATGTTCATTTATCTTAAACCCAATATCAAGCAATTTCTCAACTTTGATGTGCACAAAATATGAGTAAGTACCTAGCTGACACGAGAAAAAAAAGAAAAATTTTCTTCAAAGAAATTAAACACAATTGATAAAAACCTAGACTGTATTTTTGCAGGTTATACTATAGGCAGGTATGTCAATGCGGTTACGTCACGGTATATTGTAAACGGATTGACCGGGCTGCCTATGGTTTTACAATCATGATCACTAATCTGTGCTGTCAAAAATCTCTCCCAGGTCTATAAAGTTTATTCTACACGTGCAATGCACATCGCTAACTTCTGGCCGACTCGTTTTAGATCTCCTTTGAAGGTTTGGAAAGGCTATCTAGATCAAATGGAAGATGTGGCGAAGAAAAGGATCACGGTGGCTGAAAAAGCCCAAACCGAAGTTGCAGACAAAATAAAAACTGTTAAGTCGAGTAAAACGGCCACTTTTAAAAAGGTGAGGGGCCTTGCAAAGATACACGAGCAGTGACTCTTTTTTTTCATTTAAAATTAATTGGTGGCGGTGAATTGTCAAGAAAAATGTCCCCAAGAGAGGGAATGTTAGGGCAGTAAATATAGTTAGTAAGGCTATAGCGCAGTAAATGTGGTTAGGCTAATCCCCTTCCTCCCCAAAAATAAATCAAGAATAAAAATAAGTGGTAAATTCGAATAGAACATTGAGTAATATCTTGCTAGCAATGCTTGTGGTCTCTGTGCGGCAAACCAGGGAATTGATTATATCGGACTCATTTGTATTATTTAGTTTTCATGGTTAACAATTTTTATTCATTTTTACAGCCGGTAGAAAATAAAACTTACTTACAATTAACTTTTTTGTATATTCACCCCCGTAGCCCTCTTAAAAAAATGTGCGACTGCGCAGTTCACTCGAACCCTTGGTAGGCGCGTGCAGAGTTTTGTCCTGTTCGCTGCCGATAGTGAACAAATCCACCGGATTTTCCTCTTTCTTGTCGCGAACATTATTGAGATATCTCGAAAACCGTAATTTTTTTCCACTGTCAAATTTTGTTCTTTTATATCCTGAATGCGATCAGCAATTAGTTTTTTGCAATAAAAATCAGAAAGAGCAAATCTTCTGTAGTTGGTGAAATCAATGCAGTTTGGCTCACGATTAACATTTTATGTCAACCGTCGCACTTCTGATGCACCGGACGTATTAAAAACAATAGATAATGGACATTTGACCACTGGTCTCACACTTTTTACAAATATTAACAATTTGGATATTTTTCAATGAAAGAGTTTATTTTGAATCAAAATGTCTGTGACTGTGACATTCTATTTATAATGAAAACATTGATGTTCACGTGCACAATTTCTCTGAAGATTAGAAATTTTTCGTAAACAATGATTCTCTTCTTCGATCACCTCAAAACATTTTTAGTTCTGTTCCAATGAATTTAAGGCGCATGTACGCTTTTGTATGTATTGAAACGGTATCAGCAGCTTTTGTATGTATGACAGGATATTGACAGCGCCATCGCAATTTCAGGAAAGTACTAACTTCCGGACATCTAGGAGGACATGTTGTAAATCGTGGACTGGACTTGTAAAGCATGGACTGGACTTGTAAAGTATGGACTGAACTGGACTGGACTGGACTTGTAAAACATGGACTTGTAAAACATGTCACACTGTCATTTTGAGGGTATTTTTTCGCTAATCCTGCGACTGTAACACCATGTAATGGCGACATTTTATAATTTTATGGGTGTATGATGCAGTGGCGTCGCTGGCATAGATAAGTGGGGTGTACATATTCATATAGTCATTCATATATTTGAAAACAAATTAATGAAGTAAAACACGAGTATATCAGTGAATATGTCTCCTCACTTCACAGTTTACTAGTCCAGTCCAATCCATAGTCCAGTCCACGTTTTACAACATGCGATCTAGGAGAGAATATTCAACCCTTTCCGCGATTGGTACTTAAGAATTTAGAAGATATTGTTCTTAATCAAATTCCTGCTTTGAAAACATTGTCATACACCTGTAGTCATAAACTGTTCGATTTGGTATAAAGAAATATAGAAATATGCATCAACACTGATAAAAAACACAACACGTGAAATTTACTATTTCAGTAACTCTTTTAGCGTTCGAACAGAACAGCAAGATACACGTAGTCAAAGTTTATATCCGCTCAAAATTTTAGAGTTTTTTTTTAAAGAACGTCTTGAGGACCCTGTAGGCTGTACTGTAATTTGCATTTCTCCTTGCCTCTTCTTTCCCGAGTGTATATTGCCTACACATCCGGCCAGAAACCTGTCTTAATTCGCTGTTTTTGCAAACACTGACTTGAAAAGTGCAGTGTGTACATATTCATACATTGATATCCGGTAAATCGATAAAGTAAACAGCATGCCCTATTATATACCGCGTGATAAAACGAAGTTGAATAAGGACGACGGAAAAGAAATACTAATAAAAATAACTAATATAAATCATTGAAAAAAAAGAGCAAAAAAGGCAATGAAGAAATATGAAAAATCAAACAAACACTATAAAATCTAGAATTTCAGATATCTAAACTCATTTTATTCACCGCCACCATGGACGTACAGAGCGTGGGGGGGGGAGTATTTATCATTTAATCTGCAAATCAGTCGACTCGTAACAATACAGGCCATTTGTAAATTACTTCAAAAAAGTAATTTGAAAATAACTTCGCAAAATTGTTTCAGAACACGAAGTCGTATTCTTTTGGACCATTTGAAATCGTCTAGAATCTAGATAACGCAAATATATTATTTATTTAATTATTATGTTGTAAAAAATCTCAACCAAATACGAAGAAAAACGCATCTGCTATGCCCTAAATTTTACTCTAAAATGTTTTGGGAAAGTGTGCAAGAGTGCTTTAAAGAGAAGAAAAATACCTTGCTTTACAGTGGAGTGGAGCACAATTTCATGAACTAACTGTGCCATTTTTCTGACATTAAAGGATTAGTGCTTGAAAGCGAAGTGAATAACGTTATAACAAAAACCGAGGCGAAGTAGAGGTTTTCATTTAGTGATATTTACCGAACCTGAGACGAATAATTGTCTTAGTATGATTGCAAAGGTTACTGTTTGAAAAACCAACTTTTGTAGAAAGTACATTTTTATAAATGTAAACAAACATTTCTTCGGTGATCTAAATATAACGTTGTTTTATGCGAAATAAAGTTAAGCACAGTTCTACAACGTAGTGGCTACTTTACCTCGAAATTATTTTAGACCGTTTTTTCGCGTTTTTCGTACAGCATTTTTCCTAAAAATAACCGATTTCTTCATCAAAACGAAAACAACTCGCCGCCTTTTTAAAAATTCGCTTATATGAACGCTAGACCAATCAGAGGAGCAGAAATTTCAATAACCACCTTTGTAAGTATTATGGTAATAAGTAAAATGTAAAATGGGTTGTTAAACAGGTTGATTAAGAGGACTCTTCTTGTTTTTAGTGCCAAGATTTATTCCAGAGAATATATGAAGAATTAAACTTATCGCTTAGGGAAATGTCAAAGGTAAGAAACACGATAACTTTGATAGTTAGCTACAGTAGTTACTTAGTTTATTGCGAGTACAAGTGCAAAACAAGTAAGAAACAGGTATAGCGCGATTCCTGCGAGAAAATGTCCTCTCCCCCCTCTGCAGAGAAGACAAATTTCTCAGGAGTATAAATAATGCTCTGAGAAGGGACTCACTTAAGGATTTCATTATTCTTCTTCTTTGCGAGCATGCATCCCAAACTGTATGGAAAAGAAAAATTCCTCTTTACGAACAGAGTATAAAGTCGAGCTTATAAGTAAAGCAACTAGTTTTGTAATTTTTAAATTTCCGCGCAGTATTTTTTTGCTGCGCGCACACGACGCGGTGAGCGGTGCGTCGTTGTTGCAAAAAGTTTGATACTTATGTTTTTTGCATTGCAATGGTGAATTAGTGTAGGAAATCTTATATGGAATTGCAAAAACTGGCGGAGATGGCACTGAAGGAAAATGTGGACGCCCAAGACAAGTACGTGTTTCTGTAAAGGACTGTATATAAATGTATATATGATTGAATCTAATACTGCAAATAATAAAACCGTTCCGCATCTATGTTGAGTGGACATGCAGGGGTTTCACATATCCACAATAATTTGTAAAGCAATACATTGCGCTAACTCGTGCTATTGTTAAACTTGAGATACAAGTTGAATGTAAAGAAAATCTATAAAGGCTATAAATATCCAAAGGTTTTTTTAACATTCGTGATTATATTTAGATTAAAGAAAGGTGAAACGTTCTTTAAGTCGAAACAAGCTCTAGAAAAGAACTTATCAAAGGTTGGTGTTTCTTTCTTCACTTACTAGCATGGGTTGTCCTAACTTTTCCGAAAAAGGTACGAACATTCACATAATACGGTTTTCTCAAGGCAAAGGTAAAAACAGGTAGTTAAATGTTGCCGGATTATATCAGTCGGATTATCTCTGGTTCAGATATAACAGATACACACTCGGAGGCTTTTGTTCGAAAGGCGTGTAGCTTGAACCAGGGCCGCCCAAAGGGTGGAGGGCAAAGGGACAATTTGCCCAGGGTTGCAAGGGCCCCCAAAATGCCACAACAATAAAATTAAACTATTGTTGGAAGTATATAGTCCTGTTTTCATTTATAGTTCATTCTTCTATAGTTCAAAACAATACTGACGTGTCATAAACACAGCCTGGGCTGAAAAGACACCATGTAATCAGCCCCTAATTAAGGTTGTTGTAGTTACTAAGAAATGCATGTATAAGAAGTAAGAAGTGTAGAACTGAACAAGGGTGTAAAAGATATAAAATATAAAGTATCGAGAGAATATTTCACCACTGTTTCCGCAAAACGCCCTCTGAGCAACCGGCGCCTGTATACAGTCTAGCGATTAATAGTTGTAGCTATATATATACGGTTACATTTTAGAGTTCCGAGCGAAGAGACTTATCCGTGCGACAAGCAAGTGCGAGTCGCAATGAGTACCTTTTGTCGCTGGCCGCTCTCAATGGACACATGAAACGATTTCGAGACATTGACTTAACGCAAATCCTGACGGTGGGTATGAAAATAAGTAATATAGAAGTAATGTATATATAAAGTTACGATGAAAATTCAATGGTGTTCGGTTGCTTAAAATGTTAATTGCCTTTACTTTTCTAAACTTACAAAGTGCCTTGTGCAGTCATTTCTTAGCCTAAAGTCCATATATTGTTTGATGTAGGATCTTGATGGAGATTTTTACGAGCAGATGAAGGAATATCATATGTCGGCGTGCGTTATAGAAGTTGAAGCGGCCTTATACGCCCAAGATGGTTCTAACGATGTGATCTCTAACGCTGGGATGGTGAGTGCGTGCATTAATGTTATATTGAAACATAGAAAAATAGCTCCACGCTCTCGAGTTAATTCACGACGACGGGCTTTTGGACTTGGCATGCAATGCATGGTTTGGCATGCGATAGAAATAGACCTGTTCGGTAATTACGTCACAACATTTTAATATCACAACGTTTTAAATTTAGATCCACTTTAAATGAGCTTATGGTTATGGCTTATTGCCATACTTACTAGTCAAAATGAAAAATTCTTTTTCATACACGGGTTGTATATAGAAGAATGTTTTGCATCTTTGCACATAGCTTGTGAGAGTAAAACTTGAAATCCATCTCTTTTATGGTGGTTCTAAATTTAAAACGATAATGTTGTGACGTAATTACCGAAAAGTTCTATTGGAAGCGCAATTTTGCCGACTGTATTGGGCGTTTTTTAGAGAAAGAGGGAGAGAGGTCTTTTGAGCCAGGAAAATATCCAGCAGATGTCTCTATATAGACAACAGACCTTTTCCCGTACTATCTTCCAAACGCGCAGTGCACGACTGTAGGTTGAAGTCTATTTGAGTTGTGATATCACTATGTTCAGGAGCGATTCAACTCGATAAAGAAGCAAAAAAATCGTCAAGGTTTCCTTACAGACTACATCTCCCCAATATTCCAACTTAATGTAACATGTGCAATCAACTACGTCATGCATGCTTCAACGTAAAGCGCGGAAAAATTTTTGTCGATGTTTATTTTTCTGCCCGTAATGCCCTATATTTAACCTTTCAATCGTGTTCAAATTTCTACAGATCGACCGCAACGCCAGTGTGAAGTATTTTCTTGAAAAGAATAAAATGTTTCAAGATACAAACACGTACACTTTCGAACCATACGGAGAAGATAAGGTATAGTTATAACCTCGGTGTAATTTGCATATTTATGTACTAAAATGTAATTTGCATATTTATTTACTGAAATAATGCGAAATTAGTAATTTGCCTCAAGCGAAGTGATGGTGGTTATCATCAGCTATCGCCTGCATGAGAGTCAGGAAAGTGCCGGAGAGTAACTGTATCGCGGATATTTTTAAAGTAATTATAACAGTTATTAACTATATCTTGGTCAGATTTCTACCATCACGACGGACAGTACAATGTTACTTGCCGTCGAGAAAGAGGCAAGAAAATTGGCGTCGAAATACGTCCGGGAACAGAGGGCGTTGAAGAATAAATTTGCAAAAATGAACGCCTTGGAATCAAATAAGGTAACTATCTGCTTGACTCAAATGAGGTAGTTCGTAACTAACGAATGTTTACAGTAGTTATATATATAAATTATCCTTGCTTTTAGTCGTTTAATAGCAGTGGAAAATGGGAGGTGTTGTAATCCAGTAGTCTTTTAATCCTCTATTGTATGTGGCGTTTCTTATACTGTCGTAATGTCAAGATTGATTTAACACGACTGTTATGAAGGAGATTAATATAACAGGACTGTTATTATAGATAGGTAAATTTAAAGTAATATGTAATCATATCACACGTCTTCAGAAGAGGGATGAAACGCCATCACAAGCTGACGGACAGGATCCTGAGTCGACCTTGGAAGGTTTGCAGGAAGCAATACGGAAAGTTGAGGTTAGTTTGTTTGTTCCCACCAATGAAACGATGTTTAGCGACTAGGTTGTCACTTTGCTGTGATCATTTTGCATTGCTTACCAAAGACTTCATGCTTCATTCATCGATCTTTTATGCCATCTTGATTTTGCGGATTGTGTTTATTTCAATCCTTTATTTAAACTGTTTACTTAGACTGCCATCGAGAAAACGGAAGCCTCCTTGGCGCTTCTCAGAAATTCTGGTGGTAAGTATGAATCTACAAAGCATTTTCATAACAAACAGAAGAAATTGTCATGCACGCATCTCCATCTTTTGGTTACTTGTATAGTATCTGAAATTGATGCCATTTTGCGTGTTTTAAGCAGTTGTACACTTTTATAGTTTATATCATCATATTTTCTAAACGTTTTATAGTTCCAGTGGACAAATGGATTAAGAGTGCTGAAGCTCAACTTCCTCCTGAAGTCGCAGGTTAGTTCATGGTAATGTGTTACCCACGCTATTGTGATCAGTGTAACGCGATAGCCACAAAGCTGACTTTCCAATGTAGTTAACTATTGAAATTGCCATCCAGGTGATATGAAAATTCTGCACATACACTTTTTATCGTAGAGAGTTGTCTATAGGGTAATTTCGAGGCGTGCTCATTTTGCATTATATTATAGAGAAGAAACCTGCCCAAGTAAAGTCGCCAAAACCAGTGAAGCCAGATGCGGGCGAGTATGTTGACGTATACGAACCTCCACCACCGGAGGCGAACACTAGCGAGGATTATTGGGATGAATTCGAAGATACTATTTACGATAAGGATGACGATGAAGCCAGTGTTGCTTCGGGACATGTTTTCAGTATACCACTGCATGCTGTAGTGCTGTACGATTACACTGCGGCGTCTGCAGATGAACTGTCTATTGTTGAGAACGAGGAGGTGGAAGTGATGGAGAAAGACGGCGAAGGCTGGTGTAAGGTAAGAGAGTAAACATTATTTTCAATATTGTGGGTTTTATGAGCATTTTCCTTGTGAATAGATCCACTGCGTATTAACAACATTTTGATCTGGACAAATCTCGTCAACAAAAACGTTCACAAAATTAGTAGCTAAAACTCGTTTCGTTGCGAAATGTTGTAAAAAGTACGAAATATATATAGCCGTGCGAAGTTTGCATTTTCAATTTTGTATTAAGAATTAAACGGTATTAACTTCGTAATATCAATTTGTGCAAATTTTCGAATTTTGATACAGCTATATTTCCCCCCATTTTACGACATTTTGAAACGAAACGTTGAAACTTTGCTATTTTTGTGATGCTCTTTCTAGCTGTCGATATTATCGGAACTTAGATCAGAGCGTTGTTTGATGTGTAATGGGTTTATTGAGTGGGATCAACTTCACTTAATGTTAAGCATTGAAATTTCACTGGTTCAGAATTATCGCCAAGACAAAAAAACCTTTTCATTTTTTATCCAGGGTCGAAATAGCAACGGACAAATTGGATACTTTCCAGAGTCGTACGTCCAAATTAGTGCCAGTCCACCTTCAACAATTTCCGGGGCGAATTCAGTTCCAGACAATTTGTCACAAGATATTGTAATCGCGACTGAAGTAACTCCCAATGAACACCAAGCGAGTGAGTACACTACTTTATTGTATCCGGTATGGTATCTGTAATCCAAGTTTGACCCTGTACTGTGAGTGATAATTATTTGCGGTGAAAGGTAGTGGCTGTAGTAATCCCTTAGCAAGTGTTGCGAAACATTTAGAAAACTCGCCTCCCTTCTTTGCACCCAATGCATGATTACCACGATGTGATCATGGTGCTTCGATTATCAAAGTGAATAGTTGTGATATCGCTATGTTCAAGGGCGATTCGGTTTAGCAAATAAGCAAAAAGTCGGCAAGCTTTCCCAACAAACTAAATCTCCCCGATATCTCAACTCAAGATGAGGAAAACAAATGTAATGCATTGTTCTTCCTAGCTTTAACTACTGAGTTTTGTCAGCGTACATCTGTTTGTATGTGGTTCTCGAGGATACCGACACCGCTTGTTCCGACACTGTTTAAAATGTCTATAGTTGAATTTCTACTCTAGGTTCCGTGTGCCCTAAATTGTATGTTCGGCGGTTATCTAACTTTTTTACGGAATGTAACAGTACAGACAATACAGTTTGTTTGGTTTTTGTAGTTTGTATAGCGCGAGCTCTGTTTGACTATACTGGTCAAAACGACGAAGAGCTGACATTCGAGGAAGGTGCTGTCATCACTATTCTACGTCGAGACGGCGGGGAGGTGGACGACGGTTGGTGGGAGGGCGAGTATAACGGTCATGTCGGCGTTTTTCCTTCGCTATTGGTCGAAGAACTAGGCGACGAGTCGCATGAGAATGATGAAGAACAACAGCACCACGCGCATCCTTCTCATGTTTATAAAGAAGAGGACAGAACGCGGAGCCTGTACGGGACACTGCCGCGTCATACGCAGAATGTGGACGCATCGCATAGCCAGAACGTGTGCGATAGCTTAGATTTAACTATGACGCGCACGACGCCGTCTAGGCCACCGCTGCCGCAACATCTTTTACAACAAAATGCGCAGTGGTACGATAGAAATGAATACGTATAGGAATTGTGTACAGGAATTTGGAAATATGACAAATAATAGTGATGTTGCTATCGATGGAATGATAGCAGGAATGTCGCGAAAACATCGCTATACTGTCACCACATAAGCAAAGAAATTTCAAACAGTCGAATTGGCCGGAGGAAACCGTTTTACATCTGACAGATCTGGAAGAAAACTTCGCCGCTGCAAATGCCGATTTTCCATTCTCGCGAATCGTTTGTTTGGCCACATGCGATTATTTCCATGCAGGTGGTCAAGTCGAAAAGTAATATGAAAAGCGCAAAATTAGTGCAAGCGATCTCTTTCGAGGTCTTTGCGACCAGGCCTTGAATCCCATCAATCGAGGAACGCAAAATATATTATTTCGACTGATTTGTTTTAAACCAAAGATCAGTAATAGAATTTCCGCTGGATAAAAATTGCGTCATAGAAAATGTATTTTTTTCAACTTGTATTTAATTTAATTTTTTTTTAAGCCGGTTTTTCACTAGCGTTAATTTTCGCGCGAAGCGACATTTTACTTTTGTTCCAGAGCTCTTGACTGCAAGCATCTGGAACTAATTTCTCAAATACAAAAGAATAAAGTTGCTTCGCGCGAAAAGTATCGCTAGTGGAAAACCGACTTTATTCCGAATAAGGCGACAAAGTCTATGGCTATTGAGAAGAAAAAATTAGTCCGCTGTCGTTCGCCTAAGAACGTAACAAAATGATACAATTAGTAATAACCTTGCCATTTTACAAATTCCTGGTTCAAGGCCGGGTCGTATGGTATGGGAAGGGCGGATTTTCGAATGGAAAGCAAGCAGGTTTTTTATCGTATGCTGCGATTGGGTTTTTTCGAAGTGCACTTCGAAAGACAAAAAAATGCTTTAAATCTACTTGTTTTTAACAAAATAGTTAAATTTTGCAAAAGACTGTTGTAACTTGAAAATTTTTATCAACTCAAATTTGCAAGTTTCGTGCATGAAATATATCACTAGTACCAAACAATTACTATTTTTTATATAAAACTATTTAGTTATCATGATATTAGATTGGTTTTCTTTGCCTAGGCGCTCTATAAGTACACATAAACAACATATTTCTGTAACTGTCGTAAGGTAAAGTAAAGTATACCAAAAGTTCGTATGCCTTTAAAATAATAACAATTACGTTTCAATTTAAAAATCCTTTTCAATTTTCAGAGTGTCCAAGAAGATTTAAAGCTATTTATCCTTTCGCATTTGTGCGCATTTTTTCCTTCTAACTCTTCAATGCTTTCATGAAAGAGTTGGATATTGAAACGGTTCTACTATTCACCAAACTGTCCGAGATCAAATAGACGCTTCTCGGATTCTCCCTCCGGCAGTGAAAGTGCCATACCAGGCAAACAAAATTAAATTTCTTTTCCTCGTTTTGAAATGATGTTTTGCATGTGTGCATTCAAGCAAATCCGGGAAGTGTCACTCAACCAATCATAAACTGTAAATTAAAATTATTTCGTAGAGTTTATAGCTTTCTGAAAAGTGGTTGACAATGCTGCCGAATGAAATTATTAGTATTGTTAAAATTATGAACGTGTTCTTATTAATTTAATAGTTTCTTATCATTCGTATTGATTGTAACAGCCGAAAGCAAAAAAATATTGCACTTCTACCTCTTTCAAAGGGGAGGAGTCGGTTGGAAGAATGTGTTCTTTGTTGTGTTTTTGTTTGTATGATTTTATACCAAGCTAACCACCACAACTTTTTATCGACATTCAACCAGATGATTGAGATTTTTCCTGAAGTAATAGCGGTGTAGCTTGCGTGAAGACTTCGCCCGCTATGCTAGTATTTTGGTATTCATTTGACTGAAAACCAACCATTAAACATAATTCTTAATTCAACATAAAAAGTTGGAGTACCTCAAGGAATTGACATTGGCCCTGGTGGACCATATAAATCAAGTGTATAGAACATAATTATACTCGATATATATATATATTAATATATATATATATATATATATATATAAATATATATATATTAATATATATATATATATATATATATATATATATACCTACCTTTTTTTTACCAATATATATGAACAAGCTTTGCTATGAGTTGATGATAACAATGAAAAACGTGCCATGAAATATAGAAATTGATTTTCAAAAGAACAAATCATAAACACTAATTAGAAAAAGCAAATCACAAAAGTCGATCATATTGGAGAGATACTTCTTAAATCGTATACCTAACTCCAAATACACTTGCATGTCATCACCTAGTCTGACAATTACCTTTTATGCAACCTAGCTGTGTCTGAGTTGAAACAAAGAGCGAGCGACTCTGAAAGATAATGGACTTCCAGAACTGGATTAAACATTGACCGAATTGAAATTATTCATTGACATGACAAGAGATGCATATTAAAAGCTTGTCGACGACTGAAATTCGAAAACGGTATACTGAGTTTTGGAATCAGCCCTTTATATAAAGAACATTTAAATGTAGAAAGATTTGAATGATTGATAAGGTTTAAATTAGCGTGTCAGTTCTGTTTTGAAAAAGCATGAAGCGGCCGAGCTGATTAAAGAACCATTTTATTTGACAGGATTTAACTATATGAGTATAGCTAAACAAAACATATTGCATTTTATATTATGAGCTAGCTTTACGTAATCAAAAACAAAATAGGGAAGCGCAATCACCTATTTTGCCTAAACTCAGAACTGAAAGATTTTAGCGTTCCTTTGTAAAAAGATGTCTACGTTTGAATACTAATAATATTTTATGTATGCATCTATAATATCGAAATTATTTCATTAATACAAATTTAGTTAATTTAGATTTAGATCATTTTAAAGTGCTTGTCCAAAATAGGCCAGCTGTATAGTCCAGGGGCCGGTTGTTCGAAAGGCGTTTAGCTTAAACGGTGGATAAGCAAAATCACTTAAAAATACTTTAATATATCTTGTGAATGACTGTACTTGCATCTTATATGCGTCATTAAATATGTACTTTCTTTGAAAATTAAACTATTTGCATCGAAATATTTCAGCTCAGTTTTTCAATAAATATATAATTTGGTTTTCTATTTTTAGCTTATCCATCGTTTAAGCTGAACGCCTTTCGAACAACCGGTAGAGTAGAACTTCCACTTCTTCGACTTCCACCACGAAAGATCTAGTCTTCCGTTTTCGTGACGTCAAAATTAATTTTTTTTAAACAAGATCATAAAATATAATCCTGTGATATATATGAAATATTATCCTAAATTACAAAAAGAAAACCTTGCGTGCATACCTATATAATATACTTTATTCTTTGCACGCAACAGGCATATATATAGCTTCAGTAAAAACCCACAAGTATCATAAGCACGTGGAAATTATAAACTTCATAGCCTCATTTTGTCGTTATTAAGCCTAAACTTGTCATTAAGGGGCCGATTACACGGACAAAGCGGGCTTCCTATATTATCGCAAGCAATTTATGTCAACCGAGCTAGCCCATCTTGCCGGGCTGAAAGTTCGCATGTAATCGCTTCAGCCCGTGCATAAACAGCAATGGCTCCTGCTTCTGCTAAATTCCAGCCCGGCAAAAATTACTCATATAATTATTCATTTAACCGGCTATCCCGGTCCATGCAATCGGCCCCTAATACACCCTATAAACAAGTTAAATCCTATTTAGCCTAGAAACTGAAAAACAGGTTCCTATTTTGAAAAATCAGCATTTAGTGATGCAGTGTTGGGTAAAAGTCAGTTTAGAAAAATAAACTTGCTGCATGTTGTTGAGTTCACATGACACGCGGATGTAAGGCTTTTGTATAAATTGGGCCAACAGTTTATCTTATAGCTAGATCTTAACTATTATTTCAACAAGAATCTGGTAAAATTTGAATGCTTCTTCAATTGTATATACATTATATGAACCGTTATCATCGATATGAAATTTTGATAGCGTGCATGCATGGGAATGCGATCAACAATATGCAAGGCAGACATTCATCTAATATCACCCTGTATAGGAATGCATTGTCAGTTTTTCTCCCTAGCTATTGATACATTCGGGTAGTGTTACTAAATTATGATTCATTTGCAATTTTCGTAAGTCCTAAGAAAAAGCCATCCTCCTTATTCAACAAAACATTTGGCTTATCGAATTCAACAATGGAACCCTGATCTAACACCATTATTCTGTCACATTCCTGAATGGTAGCTATACGATGTGAGATTGTTATCACCGTACAATCCTCGAATACGCCGTGGATAACGTTCTGGATTTGTTCAGCAGTTTTCTTATCCACCTTACCTGTAGCTTCGTCGAAAATGATGATTTTGTTCCGCTTTAATAAAACCCTCGCTAAATGAAACAACTGTCGCTGACCGACGCTAAAGTTGGAACCACCGCCAGTACACTCGTTATCGAGCTTATGAGGGAGACTACCAACAAGAATGCCCAATTTCATCTTGTCCAAAACCTCCCAAATCTCCGAATCGTCGAGCTCACCTGTCGGATTTAAATTCTCCCTGATCGTACCATTAAATAACACAGGAGATTGAGAGATGACAGAAATGCGTCCACGAGTTGATAGGACATTTAAATCTTCAATTCTTAAACTATCTATGATAATATTTCCTTCCGTTTCACCGATTCGCATTAGCGCGGCAACCAGCGACGATTTGCCGGCACCTGTCCTTCCTACAATTCCGATCTTCTCAGACGGATTGATTTCAAATGACAAGTCTTTTAGAACTGTCGGCCCATCCTTATAATGTCGAAGAGAGACGTGGTCGAATTGAATTACTCCGGTTTCAGGCCATTCCTTGGGCGGCTTTTCTTCGATTTCTCGCCCTCTTTCAGGCACAATCTCAGTATATGCCAGAATTCTTTCAGCCGAGGTCATCTGGGCATGGACTTCTACGGCACTGCGCACCATTCCCGTGGTGTATCCAGCTGAACGGAACGCGTACATAATTGTAACTGCGGCAACAACTAAAACCAGAACAATACAGAAATCGGTGAAGGGTTCATGTCATTACACGTCTAATTTTGCGTCATAATCAGGAAAAGCTAGATATTGTAGCAAGCTAGAATTTGGGACTGTGGTCGAATTCTTCCCGTTTCCTCGTCTCAACACGTAGAACCGATCAAATTTCCCTATTACGGTTCCTATTTCGCCCATGCAGTACCGTGCAAACGTAGCCTAATGCTGCGTGGAACTGGTGCCCAAAGTGAAACTGGTTCGTAAAACATGCAGAACACAGTATCCTATACTGTAGTATACGTATACGTGTGGAGGTACAGCACATGGATTGGGCACCGTGACCAATTTCATTTGAAAGCGTCGTGTTAATCGCCAAAAAAAGTGACGGACACCAGTGCTGGGTACTCAGCCTGAACGCACCTCAAGACTGTACAGGGTGTATAAAGAAAACGCCAACACACTAAATTAAATATTCATGATATTCGCGCTTTCTATTTGATAATAAAAAATCATTCGATAGTAAAAGATCGAATATTCATGCACATTTAGTGTTTTTTATACAGCCTGCTGAAGTATCCTATTTAAATTTTCCGGAGAACTAATATCCTTTGTGCTTAAATTTGAACAAAAATATCTACAGGGTGTCCCAAAAAAATGTCCCCTCTATTGAAATCAAGCCTTTGTTAGAATCTGATTGCCTTAATATTATGATAAACCCAATTGAAAGCAAGACGTTTTATTTGAATGCCTCAACCTAATAACTATGCTATTTACACACTACTGCGTTGATCATGCATTCAAATTCCAACAAAAGCTTCATTTCAATAGCGGGGACTTTTTTGGGACACCCTGTATTTAGTAGTTGAATTTCTGTCAAATAATCAAATCCTTCACATCACTTTGGGTTGTTAAATCGTTAAACCTCAAATACAGCATGCTTATTGACCAATCCTGTCACTAATTATAGCTAAGAGACAACTACCCTTTTATACAACCAACCTTGGAACAATAATGCTATTTAAATTATTGAAAAAAAGAATTTCCATAACACGATTTACGCCCGAACGACATGATTGTGCTGCATGTATATCAAGTTTGAGCGAATTTAAGAAGAGAATAAAGTGAAGATTTTCCTCTCAAATTTGCTGGTTACAGCAATGACCAACTGAGACTGGTCAGATGAACCAGAAAATGACAAAACTATAATCTGTAAAGATTGGTTAGAAATTCGAAGGAGGTCTAAATCTTCGAACGCAAAGACGAAAATATGTGATTTCGCCAGAGCAACATGCCGGATCGCATTGTGCCTTAATTAATCGCAGTAATACTAATACCAGGAATGATACTGTGCAATTGACAGGTAAAAGCTTGGTTTTCATGTCGATTAAACCTATACACACTGGATTTTCGCTCATTTACGCTGTTATCACAAGCTTTATAATCCACTGTTCTCCACCTTTCAACGCGGAGGACGCCATCTTGAAGGTTGCACAAAAACAACAAGAAATTTACTGTGTTGCTTTTGCCTAATGCTGTATATACCTGCAAGATGACATCCTTCATCGCGAAAGTGAGCAATTTGTAAATCTGTACAGGTAGCGGTGAGCGATCATACCTGCTGTTGAGGAATCCTTCACCGTATACAGTTCAAACAAGCCAACAATTACGCAAAACATACCAAGGACCAAGTCCAAGGTAATTCCGAACCAACGTGCTGCTGTATAATAGGCGAACATGGCTTCGTGCTGATGGTCGATATGCCTGGAAAGAAAATATCATTGGCGTGTGCAGTTAAAGCTCTGCGACAACTCGCAACACATCTGAGATTATATTTTGTGGTTGAATTTGCACTTCATCATCATCCAGCATATTTGCAAGGAGGAAATTACTAGTTTTCAAAGGTATTAAAATATTTTTTTTACTCTTAACAGCCTAAGGGGCTGTTTACATGAGCCCGGTTACCCGAGATTCAACGAAGCGTGAGATGATTTTGAGGTATTGAAATGAGCAGATAACATGATCCTGGCAGTCGTATAATCACCACAACAATAGCATACTTATTTAAATACCTCAAAGTCCTCTCGCGCTTCGTTGAATCTCGGGTAACCGGGCTCATGTAAACAGCCCCTAAGACAAGAAATTTTTCCCTAACTGTTTATAATTGTCGTTGAGAAGATCACTTGATGTGATTTTGATAAAATTATAATGGTTTTGAGACGGAAGAATATTTTTTGCGTCCGGAGCTACCAAAATGATAAGTAGCTATTTTTCTTTACAAAACGTTTGGTCGTATAAAAATATGTAAAATATTCTCAGTAATATAAATTAGCAGTTGAAGGTTGGTAAAAAATTTTAGGAAAACAAAACAAAACAGACTTCGTTCGTGCATAAAATATGAATTCCGGGCCGTGGTCGGATCGTAAATTCCGCCCACTGCAACAGCCTAGGATTCCGCTTGCCACTGATTTGTGGAAAAATGATTAAAATTTATGTCTTGGTACCTGAACGCTGACTCTGTGAAACTCTGCTGTCGGTTGTGAACCCGGATTGTCCTCACCCCTTCCATAGTGTTGGAGAAATGCGAATACAGCGGACCACCAGACTCGGACATTAAACGTTTGATGTCCATTGCGCTGCTGAAGAAGAACTTCGACGTACCAAAGCATATCCCGAGTGCAAGAAAGCATATTGGGATGAGGTAAACGCTTGTAAAAAAACACAACACAATAGCTCCCATGCCGGGCGTCGCGCACTGAAAGAAATAAACCAAGTTGAATGGCAGAAGGTCGTCCAAGTTATTGATGTCTTGTGAAAATCTGTTGAGTATACGGCCAGCCGGGTTCACTGCGTAAAAATGACTAGGAGCTTGGAGCAGACGATTCACCATTTTGTTGTGGACTCGGTAATTTGCTCGGATCGGAACAAGAAATATGCATAACCTGGAGACAATCACAATCAATATCGTGATCACCAAGGATACGGGGTAAATTATTAGAGCACGTTGAAACTTTTCCTCCTCGTGTACTATATTTGGTAATGACGACACTTGAATGTCAACCCATACAGTGAGACCTGGTTAGAAGAATCAAGACAAAATCATGCAGTTTTAGTTCTAGTTTGTACGTCACATTTTATTCTCGTCGAATGCAATTCAAATAATAGATATTATTATGGTAAACCTCAATTAGCCACCTTACCACCTCACTATCTATTGCTTCATTGCTTTCGAAGCGAACAAATTAAATTAAACTAGGCCTAAGGAAAGAAAAATACCCACTTAAAATGAAATAGCTATTTCGTTTTATTCGAGGTAATATTTAAGGGTGTGTCCGGACGCATCATTCCCCACACAATGTCTGAGAGGCCTGGATTTTAGAAACAACTCAACTACGGCCTTATTTAAGCATACGAAACCATGAATAATTATTTTTGTAAAAAAAAATTGAGCCAAAAAAATTCAGAAGGAAAAAATTAGATCATTGCGAGGCAAAGATACAACATATAGCGTAAAATGAGCTTCAGAACATAATAGGAAGACAAAAGTTTCATAACTACCAGTCTTCTATGTCAGGCACAGTCCTTACCTTGCCCAGCTATAATTATTACTAGCATTATCAAAAGCATCAGCGCTGGTGCTCCAAACATGAAATACTTTGCATCAACGTTAAAAGAAACAGTTCCAATCTCCCGATCCTCTTTAGCTTCGAGCAATTGTTTCGCTTGTTCCAGATCATCATCTGTCTCCTCGTGTTCACTGTCTTCTTCACTGTTTTCAATTATGCTGTCTTTGTTCTCAACGGTCCCCAGTTCCGATACCGCCTCCCTCACCTCATTTACTGTTCCCTGAGCGACCACAGTACCTGCATTAGTATAAAAACGGTTGTCAAATTTTTATGCGATTAAATATAGCAATGTTTCTTCCTCTCTTCATTATGGTATCATACCAGGCTGGCCAGGCAAATTCATTATATATTTTACTCATTGAAAACAGAGTTGAACACTCCATAGAACGAAGCAAGAAATCAATTTATGCTGTGTATTATACAACTAGGGCTGCTTTCCATTGTCGCGTTTTTTGAACGTAGGTTTACACGCGTAAAAGTTTAAAATCACTTAAATGATACTTATGAAATCGATGATTGAATTGATGCACATAAGGTTGGATTCTGTTGATGATTTTGTGTGATTTTTCTTGCATAAAATTGATTATACAACAACTACTAACTTTACGTGCGTGTACGTACGTACAGAAAACGCTACAGTGGAAAGCAGCCCTTAGCTACAAGTACAAGCCTATGCATGGCCTAAGTTCCAGCGGTATTGCACAATCACCTCCTCCTGCTGTATAATATACATCAGCCAGCCAAGGTAAGGATATGTGGACCGGGGGGGTGACGCCGGGCTGGGGGGGCGGCGCCTGCTTGCTGTGGTTGAATCGAAATTTCCTAGTAAAACACTTTCTCTTTCTCAAGATAAACATACCTTCTGACAACTTCAAGATGTAATCAGCTTGCGCCAGATATCTCGGATTCAGTGTGATTACAAACACAATTCTTTCGGCCAGCAGCCCCTTGAAAACACTTTTAAAGATATTCTCCGCGACTTTAGCATCCAAGGAACTAAAAGGATCGTCCAGAAGATATATATCCGCCCGCGAGTAAACTGCGCGTGCCAATGCGATACGTGTCCGTTGGCCACCACTAATTGTCGCACCGTGTTCCCCGATGTGTGACAAGTCTTTATCCGGAAATCTTTTGAAATCCTTCTCCAACTGGCAGGCTTTAATGGTTTCCGTGTACCATTTCTCCTCGTAGGGCAAACCGAATAGTATATTCTCGCGAACTGTACCAGGAAATACCCATGGCGTATCGGAAACATAAGCGATGTTCCCCGAATGTTTTGTTGATCCCTTTGAAATTTGAAGTTCTCCATGAAGAATAGTTGAAAGGAGTGATGACTTGCCACTGCCCACCAAGCCGGTTATCATAACTAACGTTTGTGAAGATATTTCAATAGAAATGTCATTCAGTAGAGTGACATCTTTTATTTGCGCACTCGAAGTATCGGATTTGAGAAGTTTACAAGACACGCCATCTAGGCAAACCTTAGGTGTTGGACTGAGTATTTTTGAACCACAGTTTTCATCGCCATTTTTTCCTTTCTCCGAGGGCGGAATGTCGTTAATTGTATCATCTATGGCATCGCAGCTTTCCAGGAAACGCTGTATGCGAGAAAGTCCCGTAATAATGTCCGTGCTGAAGTGGATAGAAATTGGTAGTTTCATGCAAATAATCTCGCCAATGCCGACAGACAGCACCATGATAGTGAATAAATTGTTAAAAGTTAGCATGGAACGATCAGTGTATATTAGCACTAAGACGATGACAAAGGTTGACAAGTGTTGCCCACAAGAGGTAAACGAAAAGCTCATAGAGAGAATTATCCAGCGTTTTGCCTTATATTTTATTTCTTGCCTAAAGAAGAAAAAGCACAATATTAAATATCAAAGAATATTATTAAGCTTATATCTAAAGAGAATGAAAGGCGTAAAAGTGTGCCTATAAATTTCAGTATTCGTTTGTATAGTGTTTTCTGTGAACTTGTGTGGATTGTCATAATGATAAAAGTGTATACAGACTTGCAATGCATACAGAAAGAGTGGCGTCATAAATCTTTTTCATACGTCAGGATAGGAATCGTATTCGCGACTATCGTGTCGCATCGTGTAGATTGGCCTAAATACACTTATGTGCATTCAATTATCATTGCAAGTTGTGCAGTGTTTGTTTTCGGTTTATTCAAGATTACATAACTTCATAAGTGTAGGTAGTGTACATATATATGTATGATATATATATTATATATATATAATAGATCGGGAATTTGCGATGCATGCCTTTCAACGGAGTTTGGAACATTTAAGAGTAACTTGAGAACCCATTTCTATGAAACTTGGAATGTTTATACACCTCCGTAATTTGTATTTCCTATAATGTTTTTTTGCATTTTAGTTTTTAATCTGTATCATACATGTAATTCGTAACTTCATAATTAAGGTAGGCAGATTAAATTGGGGCGAGATCTGTCTGCTCACCTATCATCCGCATGTTGCAACTTATTGTAACTTGTTTTTGATGAAGTTATTAAACTAAACTAAACTAAAATAAACTAAAATCGATGGTATCATACTCGACCCGCACTGGCGAGATATCTTTAACAAACTTTATCATACAAAAACTTTTTTCTTAACCTCTATAATTGATCGGGAAATTTAAGAGAAATTGTCAAGGAATGTGGGATTTAGACAAAGGATCGAATTCTAATTTTCAGTATCAAAAAATAATTACCAATTAAGAAAATTTACTCGTGTTTAGAAAATTTAATTTAGAAAACGGTAAGAAATTCGTTATAATAAAAAGATGGCGGCATTCATACTTTAAACATATATTTTTGTGGAGGTTGAAATTAATTAGGGATATGATCTTTAAATGGCCTTTTTTGCTCATTATGTGGTATGAATTCTGTGAGGAGCGGCGACCTTTTGACGAGTTTGATCCTCCGCATGCAACATGCTCTTATAAATGTAATATTTTTTATCTATCCCGCTATCCCGCCGACGCAAAATTCTTCGGAAGGTAGCGAATCATCGTTTGATTGATGCATCATACATTAGAAATTTTAAGATATTGCTATCGTGACCGATCTAAATTCGAAAGGAATCATATTTTTCAATTTTGATCGACATATATGTCGACGTTCCGCCATGTTTATTTTACATCTATGGTGAATTCGTTCATCTTAAACTTAAAGTCTCCGTTTTTTTTATAAGCGCAATTATGAACAGCACATCTAATTCAAGCTTTCTATATCCCTATTTCCCGACAGTTTGTCTTAAAAAGAATGACAATAGCTACTAACGTAAATTAACTTTATTTGCACTTAAAAAGTTCGTAAAAACGAAGATGTCAAATTCGTAAGTAAATGTGCATTTGTAATTTACCGAGAAAATTTACAGGAGAAATTTTTGAAAACTATAAAAAACGGTTTTTCAACTGTGGAAAGCCTTAGAAAGGCTAATTATATAGAAACTTGTGAATTTATAACAAATTCCGTATTTGCATGATGTTATATTTGGGTGGTTGAGAATGAATAAAAAAACAAGAAAATAATAATACTAGGAAATTAAAAACTAGGAAGTTAAACTTTCTCTGCCAAAGTTAGAAGAGGTGAAAACCATTTCTTTTGGGACTAATCATGCATTTATCAACCAACCTACAATGGCACACGTTAGCTTATAACCATTCCTCGCCATTTTGCCAAGCGCTAAAGGCTGGTTTTCATTTAATCGTAATTGTCGTGAACATGCTAAGGTGGTTGATGTACTTAGAATATTGCTACGTTCGTGCAGTCAATAATAATTGATTTGATTCATTTTATTGCAGAAAATAAAGACAAATTACATCCGGACTATTTCACATCGGTGAAAATGACAAAGCTCGGTTTACACCATCAAATTTTCTGTTATCACAGTCGGCATTTTCAAACGGGAAATTTGAAGCTTCAAAGTAATTGGTACAAATATTCAAGGAGCAGTGGTTAACTCGGAGTTACTTCATCGTGATAGTCGCTCCAAAACGTTTAAAACTAATGCAACACAGGAATATTGACAGTGTAATCTGGGTCTTATTAAAATCCGTCCTTAAGAGGAAACAAGTGAACTCACCATCTCGTTCTCTGGATCTTATCTTCATAGACATGTTCCAAGCAGTTCAGTTTAACGGATTGGATGATCGTCAAAACCTCGCGAAGGTATCCAAGACGTTTTTCCGCCAACTGTGAAGCTTTCTTGCGAAACTTTATGTCGATATTTGTCATGCATAAGCGGAATAATGCAAGGATCGTGAACACGCACAAACCCGGAATGAATTTCCAGCCGACAAAACATAACAGCCACGTGATGTAGACGACGACTTTGGCAGATTGCCGAAGCAAATTTGGCAGAAACTGATCCCCCATTGTGGCCAGACGATGAGTGTCGTCACAAACCAACTCCATTACCTCTCCAGCGTTCATCGACATTTTGCTACACCTCAACACCTTAAAAAAATAACAGCGTTTCACATTTGGTTCGGAGTCAAGAAAATTCGTCGCGTGGTAAGCATTTCTTACAGATTTGTTAGTAATTAAAGGGAAATGAGTCAAATGACCAATATTCTTTTCTTGTTTATATAAGCCTACTTTCTTATTTTCGGAAATACTTGTGAAAAAAAACCTTCTAACCGCCATCTTACTTGCATCTTCTGTAACTGTCATCGTCGACGTCATTGCATGCAAATTTGTATCAAGATCAAGATCAAGATCTGTCTATTTTGTATAAAAGTGGTCGAAAAGAAATGCCAGATTTTATCCCATTGCAACAAAAATAATGCATATTTAATTACGATAAATATGAATATTCAAAATGGCGCAGGGCGAACATAACTTATATCTCAAAAAGTAGAGAAGATGATGAAAATCTAGAAACGGACTTTAAACTGCAACTTCCAATCAGGTTGATAAGTTAAATTGTTAAATCCGGCTAATGATTACGTGCTCGATTAATATATGCGTATAGTTAAATTATTTTATAATCTTATTTAAATTAAATTGAAATTTAAAAAAAGCAAACCCAACGCGTATAGTATAGTAGGTATAAAGCGACGAAATGATTGCCGATTAAAACCGCGTCCTGTGCACAAACGAATCGGAGAGAATAGAATAGAGAACTCGATCGTACGAAAACATGGCCTTAAATTCGATCTAGATTAGTGCGGTGCTTTTAAAAGCCGTTTGGCATAAAGTTTCATTCTAAAGTTAGGCATAATTTTTAATTTTTGAACAAGATATTTCGGCGTTTGTTTTTGTCAGCATGGTATCAAGGCCCTTGCCACAAACATACACAATTGCCACAAAAGTAGAGCCGAGCAAGACTGCGTGATTCTAAGCCCGTATTGTGACAGGCCAGGACTTCCAGGTCCAGACCAAGCAGTCTATATACGTTTATATACAGTACATGAAGAACACCGGGCAATGGCCATGGTCATGCCAATTAAAGTGGAATGATACCGCTATAATAAATGCCTTACTTTTTTATAAATCAAGCCAACCAGGGCAGCTCTGGCTCTGATTCCTAACATGGGTAAGTACAGACACGAATGCTGAGAACCGAGAACCTCACAAAACGACCCGACCATCATGCCCAGAATGAAAATGAGATACTCGTCCGGAGAATGGGCGCCCCCTTCAAAGTTGCTACCGATGGCTTTCATTAGGTTTGTAACGGAATAGAAGAATACAGCGTTTCCAAAGACGTTGAAAAGCATCAGGAAGTACACCAGTGCATGCTCTTGCCAGGTGAAGTATTTCATCATCGCCTTCCAAAGCTTGGGTTTTTTCCTCTGTTGTCTTGCCGAGTCCCTTTCATTTTGCCAGATTTCCTCTAAACGTTTTGTATGTCGAGCGGCGCAATCGTCTTCCCTGACCGGATCGAGATCTTCTTGATTCAGCGGAGCTTTTCTTCCTCTTCGCAAAAGATCAACAATCCACCAGAGCAAAACTCTCGATATGATGTTGGCTTTGTCTTTCGGATGAACCTTGTCCATGTTGGGTGAACTTGGTGCATTTTCATCGGGCATTTTCAGTGGATTTCGACTTCGGCTAGCCGGCCTTGACACACGCTCTCGTTTCTTCGTTCATTTCACCAGAGCTCGTCGTTTCCTCGCATCGTTTTATTTTCCACGGAAAAAAATAGCGGCTAGCAAAAGATAAAGAAAACAGAGAATCACGCGTACGTAATGACGGATCGTGCGTGGATGCTTTAATTTTAAAGCAAATACTGAATATATAGGGAACACTGCATAGTAAAGAGGAAGATCGTATGATTAATACATCGCTATGTTTGCATTGCCTATTATAGAGTGGTAGTAATTGCCTAAATAGAAATATTATATAGAACAAGTACTGTTTGTGGATACATAAACTATAATGCGACATTTTTAGATCTATACATATATATATAGCTATACAATTTCTAACACGCACCACAATCCATTTTCAAAAGAAAATCGTTTATATTGTCTTTCTGTGTGACCAATCCAAAACACTTTTATCACATTATTGGCTAGCGCGCGTTTATGGCAAATTTGGGCTGTTACATATATGACGGTTAATTGATGAAAAGGCTAACTTGTTTTTAATTGAAATGATAACATCCGAATTTTAGATTAACGTTTTGTCGAATTAAAATCGTCGCGAACGCCATTAATCTATCATTGATTATCGGTGTCTCTTTTGAAATAATAATTGTTAATTTCCAAGCGTTTGGTTATTAAAACCTCTCGAGTGTCAATCAATGAAAATATATGAAAATATGAAATATATATAATGATATTATATATAGGGTACTTTACACTCGATCATAAATCGCTATAATTCAATTTCTAACCCTATATTTAATTAATGAATATGTATAGCGATGGCATGCATGCATGGAGAATCGTTTTATTGAATTGTATGTAACTGTAAGGCTAGATTTCCACTTACAAAGACTCGCTAGCGAAATATTTGCATATTTTCTTTTGAAATGAGCGCTGAACTAATCTACCCTGTCAAAATTAAAACAAAAAAAGGGGGGGGGGTTAACTGTTTCTCTTCAAGTAAAAATCCATCCTAAGCTTATTACTTATAGACAGTAAAATGAAACAAGTAAACTTTTCTACATGCTGATAATTTGAATAAACACAATATGACATATAGTAACACATGAAACAAGATCTAGCAACTGCTTAGAATAAATTATATAAAAATCGTAATGGTTTTTCCATTCAACTCTTTGGTGACTAAGGTGACTAAGGAGTTAAGTAGTAACATCAGTAGGATTCTGGTATATTCTAGGTCTATGGGAGATGAGTTAAACACTACTGCGAGGGCGCCCCATGGATCAATTAAACGGGGTGGCGACAAAAGATGTCGATCTGGGATCCCTTTCTATTAATATGGAGCCATGCATGCACGGAGAATCGCTTTAATGGATTGTATAAGCCTGCAATTCCACTTGCAAAAAGATGGTTCGCCAGCGAAGTATTTTGCATATTTTTTTTTTGAAATGAGAACCGTCAAGCTGAACGAACTGTTTCTCTTTAAGCAGAAATTCACCCTAAGCTTTTTACTTAAACTTTAAGAAGTATATTAAAGTTTTATAAAACAAAACAAAACTTTTCTAAATGATGATAATTTGAATAAACACAATATGACATATAGCAACACATGCATGAAACAATGTCTAGCAACTGCTTAGAATGTGCGAAAACCTTCTATTCAACTCCTTGGTCCCGAGAATCGAGATGCCATTAATCTCGCGAATAAAGATTTACATCAGTAGAAATAGAAACGGGTCGAATTAACTTCACGTTGTCAAATTTTGCTCTTGAAACCGTCAGAGGGAGAGTGCCCTTCTCACAGGTCGAAAGCTTATATATAGAGTTATAGAGTTCAATTTGTCAATTATTGAACGAAGCTTCTGCTTCCTGTGTGGGCATCTCCTGTCTTAGTGTAACTCCTCTCAAAAAGGAAGAACCTCGCTAGAAGGTTGCCACTTACTACCCATCAGCCCAAGGCGAACAACAGTAAAAACATTTAGTTGTGCGTTCACCACGTAATCTATTACTGCGAAGCTTCCGGTCTGTTAATCGACTCACTGATGAAGACCCGCGTCAAAGCTTTTCAGCAATAAATATAAATGGTGTATTAACAAACTGATCGTTATCAAGCTAATATCGTTACGATCGAACGTCAATCGTGACGATCAAAGCCAGCGTGGGTCTTAAATTAATTAACAGTAAATACAAAGCTACGAAATCAATGCTGCTGTTTCCGTGGAACACGATAAAAACGGATCATGAATCATACTGATAGCATTTTTTTACTTACCCAGGACATCAGCATTATCGACTCTTGCCCGTTGATTATACGTGAAATAAAAATAAGCGATTTTGATTTTGATTTTTGAAGTGAACAGTCAAAGAAAAGGAGGCAATACAAGACGGCAGTCAAGCGCGGTTCAACCACGGGTGTTTGCAGGTGATAGCATAAACACTGTTGCATCCTGAACTTTATATAAATGTATTTGTTTACAAAAGTACCAGTTCGAATTTATTAACACAGCCGGTATCAAAGCAAAATGTACAACGAATCCAGAGTCTGCATTCATGGCAAGATTGTTGGAGAATTGTTACATTTTTAAACACATTTACACCACCCTGTCTCTGTGTAAAAGATCCTGATCCTCGTTCAGATATCCACGCGATCATTGCTTTTCAAACCAGTTTATATACCTGTAGCGCCTAAACTTTCAATCGTTCGCCTAATTTGAGGTCCAACCGACGCAGCAAGACGCGTAGATAAACCCTGTATACCTGATTAATTAGCTTTGGTAAACGGATAGCAATGGAACGCACGGTCGGTTGTTCGGACTGGGCACGGCCGGTTGTTCGGACTGAGCCCGTCCCGAGATATCCTTATTCGGTTAAAAGGATTTCGAAACTACTGTCCCGTGCTTGGCGTGATTGTGCCTCTCGAAATATTGACAAGTAAAATATTTGTGAAGCCCAAATTGATCTATACCTTGGCCCGAAACTGCATATATAGTTTGTATTTATTTGCCGCAGGTATTCTTCAACATAAATGCATGAATGTATATTCTGTTGTTATTCCACCATATGTTTTTATATATATACTGCAAAGCTTTCGGTTCCAATCTTCGGAAATGTTGCTCAGCAAGGCTGATTTTAGTGGTGTATACGTATAGTAGGCTATAATTAAGGTTTCAAGTAATTATACATGCATTGCAAGCCAAAACCTATTTATGTCATTTCTGTTTGTGAGAAATGAGCAATTTCTTAAACAAAAAATCAGAATTATAGTTTCTACATGCAACCGGCATTAACTACTGAAGAATGTTTCAGGCCGATTACGCTGATACCAAACAAGAAATGCTGCCACTGCATCCATGATGGTGATGTAAATAGACTAAACAGTGAAACCCTTCATTTTTTCATCGACATAAAAGTGTAGAAAACATATCCCAGCCTTTTCAACGTCCTATACGGATTTATTATACGTTCATCGTATTTTCTATATAGTTCAGCTTTCGTGGTAGTTTGCATTTTCGCCTTTTACTAAGCCCGTTAGATTCAGACCCGGGTAGCTATAGTGTCGATCCAATATTGCAACTTTCTGTACTCTATAGTGTCGATCCAATATTGCAACTTTCATGAGACTGCAAAATTTTTTATCAATTGTGATCAATTGATATCTCAGCCGATAATTTCAGCAAATACATATAGAACGAACGTTGCGGAATAGAGTGCTATTATATTGAAACGCATTAAGCTTTTAATAGACCTTTCTGATAAGAGAGCCAATCAAACATCGTGTAACATAAGACTTTCCTCGTTTGACGTCATTGTAAGAAAGGTCATATTGAAAGTTTATGTTTCTTATCAATTCTGATTCATCAACAGTTATGTGTAAGAAAATATTCTATATATATAACTGCGGAAAATGAATCGGAATTAATTCGAAATAATACAGTTTCATTTAAAAAGTTTGATGCATTTGAATATATGCGTTTAAATATGCACTTTATTGAGAATAACTTTTTTATGTAACTACAATAATATTCGTCGACCATCAATAATTGCAAATATCAGCATGTCAATGCAGTTCATTGGCACAGCACGACTAAATTGATACCCATGCATGCCCAGTTATTATATAGTTGCCTGATCATTAGCGTCCAGGCTATACCTATACAAATGTCGAGCACAGGTGAAATTGGTACGGGTACCCATTTTAGCAGTGCCGTGCCGTGCTGATGAATTGAGTGTAGTGTAAACGCAGAGCTACAAATTTTCATGCAATCATAGTGACCTGCCAAATAATATAGGCCATTTGCATTGTAGCTAAACTAATTTTGTAACTTAATTGGCAATAAAACCAGTAGTGCCATGCATACAGAGTCTACCAACGTAGGCAAAGATTGCAAATTTGTTTGTGCAAAAGTGGGGAAAAAATGGGCTTGTAAAATTTTGAAAATTTGCATGCATACATGTGTATTTGTATGATTATTTGTTTGCAAATTTGCATGCATGCATGGAATTGTTAGCAAATTTAGGCCGAAAACGGTAATTAAATCGACACACCAAAAATGCGATGTCAACACCCGCCATTAAAACTACCTTTTCATCCTGTATTTCCCCTAGCTATAGCGTGTTTTATTTTAGTAAGAAGGTTAGAGATTTATTTTATCCCCCTGTAATGAAGAGTTGTCATCATTTTTATGCAGACTCAATTTTATGCAATAGGATGATTTGTTCACTAGTGACGAAATGTGGATTTCGAGAGAACGATTGATATTTTTTCATTGGACAAAAATTGTCTTTCGGTATTTTGATATAGGTTCAAATATTTCATTGCATTCTATTATTATATCGCCATTCGAGATGACTTCGAAATTACATGTAGCTATATAGACCTATTCGAAAAAGAGCAATAGGACTGTTTCGAGTTACGCGAGAACGAGGCTAGTCAGATTATCTCTGCTTGATTTAAAGTCATTTGTTAATTCTCTCACTTTTTCGTGTGACCTGTCGCAAGCTACACAAAAACAAAGTTTTTCCAGTCAAAATTTAGAAATTTAATTTGACAGCAGAAAACCTGACTAGCCTAACCTAAAACCTAACTCATAACAGGCTTCTTGCTCTTTTTGAAATGGGTCTATTGGCGATCGATATAAAACATAGCTCCTAGAATGATGAAATTTTTCTGAAAAATAATTTCCATGCATTGAACAAGTTACGAGAAACCCGAACTAGCGCCTAAATATACATAAATTAGCTATGTTAATTATGACGCAAAAATGTGAAAGCGCCTCATTGTTAACTTGATCTCATTTGTCCGTCTTTTTTTTTGTTCACCGTTTGTTGTGAAAATGTATCAGACACACATGCCTCGTATGTTTCGCGAGCTTTCGCAACTCATATAAATATAATCGTACGCACAAACATGAAGTTATCTCTGTTTACTAAAATGGTTTTATTTCTTACTGCGCAAGTAAAAGAGAAATAGTATTTTATTCTATGCTAAACTTTAAGGAAAAATATTTATAGAAACCCTATTTGTTTCATTTGATCCACCTTCAATTACATGTAGTATAGATATATTTACCATGTTATTCCTGTTAAGAACAACTTTGTCCGATTAGCCCTGAGACGTAAGCTAATTTTGTCCTTACGAGAAAACGATCTTAAGCGTGAACGAGAATTTCGGTCAGCAAGAAGCAAAACTTCACTACCCACGTACGTATGTGTTGAAACTTTAATTAACTTTTTTCCACCAACAATTGACAACCTTCATCTACCAGCCGCCTCAAAAACAAGCAACCCTAAGATCTAGTCAAACGAAAGCAACGATCAAATAAACTGTTCCAAACTAAACGAAAACTCCGAAGAGTAATTACGGAGCCAAGCATCCGGAGCAAACCGACATTAATCAACAACCATCGACCTTCGCAGCTTAATGAATCACACTTAATGGTAATGTCCAAAGGGTAGCAAGGAGTTTCGTTTAGAACTAATTAGCAAATTCTTCTAAATTTTTCAGGCTAAGCCAATCAGAATGCTTAAATTTTTTATACGTCATGTAAAATAGGATTATTGTACCTTTCTACCGGAAGTAGTCAATATATACCTACAACTTACCCTATATACCCTTGACAAAATTTACCTATAGCAACCATATAAACTGGCAGAAACCAGAAACTATAGTGAATACATGCATGTAGTGTCTTATCTTCTCCTAGTCATCTTTAGGGTAGCCCTTCTGTAGTAATGGCAATATTGCGTGTCCAAAAACTTGATCTTGTTGATAACATTATGACAAACGTATAAAATATAATCGTGGTTATATTGATGAGCATTCTCTTCGACTAAACGTTTTTTTAATAGCTGAGCAAGCAAAGTGCACATAAGCATTACGCATTCGCATAGGCTGAAAGCACAAAACATGTGCTCGTTTGCTTAAAACATCAGCCTGACAAACAAAATCGCTGAAATCGAGATGCATGTCAAGATTATAATTATAGGCCTGGTCGCCAATAAAAACGTGACCGATTTTCAACCAGAAGAACAGCAGTATATCACCTAGAAACCTCATTAAACAAACCCCGTTTACACTACAGTTAATTTATTGGTATACGGTACGGATAAAATGGGTACCCGTACCCAATTTTATACGTGTTCAGTAATTACCAAAACGAAGGCCGGGCAAGGATGAATTCGGCAATGAATTGGGAGTGTAGTGACTAGGGTAAACGGGGCTTAAAACTATTATCTAAAATGCTAATTTGAAGCCTTGCATTTGCAAAATATTAATTTTTAGGACGAGCCTCTTGAAACTTGGAATGGAGACCAAATTTTTTTGGCCACGGTAAAACCACGAATCACTCAAACAGGTAGTCTCGGCCCGTTTTAACAGCGGTATACGAGATTTATATTGATCGAAACGTATATTTGTAAAAAATATATATATTCATATCGATATGCACACAAATATACGTCTGCAGTCTGCACTGAGCAAATTGTGACACGGGAATGATAGTCTGATATTTGTTATTAACCAAAAAACGTGATAACTAAAATACAATTTAAAAAATGCGATGTTTGTTAAATTCTTATATAGCGCCGTGATTCTATAGGTAATAATACAGGTAATGCATGACCTGTTGCGAGGCTCTACATACATATATATAGGGTTGAACGAACGGGAATGAGGACCCGCTATATTTTGCTTTCATTTTTTTGTAATTCATGTCATTTCCTTCTTTCAGTTATCACCTTTGCATGGTAAGTCTGAGAGTACACGGTTAAGTACACGGTTGCCCCAAAAAAATTCCCTCCGCCAAAACTTTGGAATATATTCATTTAAGCCATATATAGCTTGGGAAACTATATTATCATCAAAGGAAGATCTAAAATCATATCAACTTACCCGTAAATTTTCAGATCCAAATCATGCGATTTTTGCGACGACCCAATTTGCAACGTTCTCTCTTCTTGTATTCCTCAGTTATTCCGATCCACTTCGTTTAATTTTTTTATTTA